GAAGCTTCATTCAGAATGTTTCTGGGTAGTCTTCAGGGTCTCTATGTACAAACTATTAGCTTAGAATACAAGGCAACCAGATAGGATATATTTCATTTCAGTGTTAAATAGCACACTAACCTTCAGAACCCTGCCACAGAAGTAGCACTATCTCAAATAAAACAAGTTGGCGGCATCTATCCAAGAGCAGGGTGTTCCATCAGCTTGTTTTATGTTTCCTATCAAATCTGATAAATTTTGCATCAGTTGAATAGAGGAAACAGTTAAGTGATAACCAGATTCTTGCTAATTAAGCAAAGCAGAAAAACTGCCCAACAGTATTTAGTGGAGCTACCATGTGGGTGGTATGCTTGCCCACCTTCTTTTGATCTCTAATTCCTATAATTATGCAGTACAGCATAATTTGGGACTGCCCAGCAACAACATATGCATGCCAGAAATCAACAGAATCAGAAGCAATTACAACAATTCCAAGAATATTCTGCAGTGCCCAGTACATTACAACTTCCCTTACCCCATGTTTTAAGATGAATGTTCTAAAGGACAACTTAAAGAATCATTGCTTGTACTTTCCATGCTGTGTTAAGAGAAACTTTGGGAGGCTGATTTAAAAGAAAACAGAAGTGAAAGTAAAACAAGACTTACTCAAATCTCATTCTGACTAACTGCCAAAGGCTAGGCCATTTCCCAGTTACCCAACTGGATGTTGAATCACAATGATTCAACATTTCACCACCTGCATCCCCATACATAAAATGCTTTCTTACCAGAATGTGCAAGTTTCTATTCTTACTTAAAGTCATTGTTTACAGTTTCCTCCACTATTGTGAAAGGATAGCTTAAGGCTGCTGAACTTCTCAGCATACAGAGGGGCTGGGAAAGACCCACAATTCCCTGGCATTTTAGAAACAGGAACTTTTCAGTAAAAAAAATTCCACCACAAACCTGAAATACATGCAACACTTGTGATCAGAAAATTTCAAATCAAACTCCCCTTGCCCCTACTTCCAAGGATCACCCACTCCTCCTCATCTGTAACATTAACCCCACATCAATAAATATTCATTAGTACTTAAACAAGATTCTCAGGAAAATAAATTTTACTGACAAAATGATTCTGAGCAAAGTCTACCTGCAACTAAGTAGACAGGAATGACACAAAGTACAATTCACACCTCACTGCAGGACCTAGTTAATTAACTACCATCAGCAGTGCCAACCAGTCCTTGCCAAGGATTCAAGCCACAGAATGATTTGGGAGTATCTAGATCACCATAAACTGGGACTTTCCACAGCTGTCTGACACATTATCTTCCCTCTTGATGGGCCACCCCTCCTCTGTTACTGAGACCAACAAGTCATAGTCTATAAGGTAACAATAAACCACAGCTTAAGATTTGTTAAGGTCTTTTGAAGAAGGGCAGTTTATTACTAACCACCACCACTCTTGGTTTCTTAGGTTTGTTTATGCTCCTTGTACTGGGGAGGAGAAATGTGGGATCAATCAAGCAGCAGGTACTACTCGTTCATGCTAAACCACAATAACCCAGAGATCCCAGCTTATCTTTACATGCCAACACAACGTATTTGAGATAGCATTTCCATTTCATATAAGTATTCCTCTTGAGGATTTGATAGCCACAGCATAGAGTGAACTGTTTCATTATAGTCTGCCCTTTAATAAATTTCTAGAGGCACAAATCCTTGTAAATGCAGTTAGTTTTGTTTACACATACATGTGCTTCCCTCCATTACTTATGTGTTTCCCTCCATTCACAGAGGGAAAGACAGTCCTTAATAAACACCTCAAACTTTAAAGGATATACTGATCTTGTAAAGTTTGTGTCTTCCACGTGTTTTCAGTCTGCACCAAGATAACTGATCTTATACATACATCCTATTTCCCTATGACCGTGTTCAGTATTACCCAGGCCCTGTAAAGAGTGTTCACTCAAGAGATGCAGCTCCCTGGGTCCTCTAAAGGTTTAGACTACAATCCTATGAGGAATGTATATGCTGATTTTTAAATATTTAACGCAGGTTCTAGCACATCTTTGGCACTTCCAAATTATCTGATAATGAAAGTTTTGTTTTCATTTTCACTTTCACTCACACCTATTCCTTTGCAAAATTATAACCATTAGGCAGCAAAAATAGCTGCCTTAATGAGATTGGAGAAACTCCTTTATTAAGGGCTGCGAATGATTGGAAGAAGCTAAGTGCATTCAAATTGACACTTCATTGCTGGACATAGTCCTGCTGGTGCACTGCATGCACTTGATCAGCAATGGTTTAGTCTTAAAAATTCTGCTGTTTGCCACCATTTCCCCTAGGATATTGAAAGAGACAGTGTGAGCAGTTTGGGAACAGGGCACTTACTTGTCTCCCTCTGGACAGAAAAAGTCAGATGAGGCACCATTGTTGAAGCAACATTCCCCGTACTACACTTAATTTCTATAGGAACATGGAGCAGTCTGGGCTCCTTTCAGAGGAAGGGCAGGACAGAAACTTAATAAAATAAAATAAGTGAACAGTAATTAAAAATACAATACTTATTACTGCATACAATGTTCTTAGTGTTCAAGTGTTTTTCAAACACTCCTACAAGTCGGAAAAAATATAAAATAATGATGTTAACTTTATTGCAGATAAGGGGCTAAAGCTAAATGGCTTGCTATGACTGTTCATGGCAGGTGAGATATGAACTATAGACACAATTATACACTATTTCCCAAATGAAGCAGCGGTGTGTGAACTAAACAAGAATATAAAATCTGCAAAAACCACCTCTCCCACAAAGCCTCTGGGCTTAATTCCCAAAGCCCTTATCCCCAACAGAAAAAAGCCAGAGGATGCTCTTCACGCCCCTTTTTCTTATATTTCCATCACTTTGCCATTTTCTCTCTAAACTATCCACTTTTATACTGTAAACTGTTGATGGCAGAGTGACATACCATTTTTGCTCATTTCACTCTAATGCACCATGTATTCAGCTGGTACAGAACATTGGCTTGGCTACAAAGACAATATTTAGTCAATGCAAAGGCACCTCCCCTGCACCTTTAAACTTTAAACTGCAGCTAGGGCTCAGTGACATGACCTAGTAGTGCATGCCCGTCTGTGAACCTTGAAACCTGGTACACACCCTGCCAATCATGGCTGGCCCTTGCTTTCACTCTGAATTGGTGCAGGACTAAGCAGCTTGGAATCATGCTGTTCTTAGGTTTACTGTCCCCCACTGGCAAGAGCCCGCTAGGTGGTGCTGTCTGGAACCTCACCCACCCCTATCTGTAACATGGGGGGCAAGATCCAAACGGCCAACCGTTCCAGGGTTGTTGTAAAGATCACAGCAGGCTAATACAGATAAAGCAATTTACTTCCCATAACGGCCACCAAAGTAGCAGCTGCTGTTTTTACTTATTTTTATTTATTATTTATTTATTTATTTATTTATTTATTTATTTATTTATTTATTTATTTATTTATTTATTAATTAATTAATTAATTATTATTATTATTATTATTAAGCGTGTCCTTCCTCCTGCCCCTGCCTTTGCTCTCTCTCACCCGCAGTCCGGGGCCGGGCACCACCTGCAGTCCGGGTCGGCGGCCAGGCAGCGGCGGAGCATGAACTCCTCATACTTGGCGACGAGGTGGGGCGAGTCGCGCAGGAGGAGGCGGATGTCGGCCGGGTTGAGGCGCTCGCTGCACTCGGGGCAGCTGATGTTGACGCGCGACTCGGTGATCTCGATGCGCAGGTACTGGCGGAGGCACGAGCGGCACGAGCGGTGCGGGCACGAGAGGAGGCGCGGCGCGTTGCCCGCCGGCTGCCGCACCAGGCACAGCGGGCACTCCAGCTCCGACGGGGAGGACTCCTCGCCGCCCTCCTCGCACTCCGCACCAGAAGACGACGACGAAGACGAGGTGGCGGCAGCGGCGGCGGCATCGCCCTCCCCGGTAACCGCCGCCGAAGGAGCAGGAGGAGGTTGTGGCGGCGGCGGCGGCGATGAGGGCGGCGGCGGAGTGGCCTGGGTTGATGCTGCGGTGGGGCTGGCGATCGCCGCCGCCGCCACCGCCTCCACCACCGGGGCGGGCTTGGCTTGAGGCGGCTCTGGCTTGGCCTTGGCCTTCCGCCGGCGGCGGACTCCGGCCCCGGAGGCTGAGGACGAGGCAGCCGAGGCGGCGGCCGAGAAGACGCTTTGGAAGCTGAGGAGGCGGCGTCGGCCGCGGCTGGTGCCGCTGTTACTGCCGCTGTTGCCGTCACCTCCTCCGCCGCCGGTGCCTCTGCCGCCTCCTGCTTGTCCTGAGCCGCTCTTGGGGCATTTGGCCGGCGGGGCAGCCGCGTGTATCGAGGTAGAGCGCGGCGACTCCGAGTCCTTCTCTGAGCCCATCGCGAAGGAGAGGCGGACGGCCGGCCGGAGAAAGCGGCGGCAGCGTCGCCCGCTCGGCTCTGCGCCTCCTCTGAGGTGAAACGAGAGAGAAAGGGGAATGAGGCGGGGGGAGGAGAGAGCGCATGCGCGGCCGATGGCCCGACCAACCGACCCACTGACTGACTGCTGAGGTAACCCAACCGCCGCCAACGGCCTTCCAGCTCCGGCTGCGCAGGCGCATTCGCGTCAACTCCGCACAACTCCCTTTCCTTACCCAAGCTGTCTGCTCCTTTCGCAATGCGCATGCGTCCCAAGCGGGGGAAGGCGACTTAAGAACCAACGTATTTTATGTAATTACATGTAATGCAGGCGTTGTGCTTTGAGCCTACGAGCTGCTTATAAAGAGTGAAGGTCCAAAAGGAAGGCTCGTGAGGCGCTCTCCGTCTCAGAGGATGGGCAGGCAAAGCCTTGTTTCTCTGTGTGTGCAGAGTTCATGTGAGCCTCTGCTATTTTTGCCTTTGCCTCCCCCCACAAAAAAGACAGTGTATAAGTCTTATAAAATAAATACTGGGCCGGAAGATGTTCAGGTTGAGGAATAGCATCAAACAACTCTAGCTGGCTACAGCGCCCCCTTTTTTTTTTTGCCTAAAGTAGGTTTTCTAAATGCCACACGTTCCAGCTGTCACCCCAAGCCCCTAATTTTGCCCCTCTAGTTGACAAAGGGTGTGGGGCACAATTCTCAACATATGGGCAATAGCAAAGCACATGCTTGGCATGTAGAAGGCCCAGGTTCTAGCCCTGGCATCTCCCAGCCCCCTGTTCCCCTCAAAGAGCTACAGTTTCCAGTGATTTAACAAACCCAGAGAACTCAGAGAATTGTAATTCTGGGAGCGAAATAGGGGACCTCGACAACTCTCAGAATCCTTTAAAAACTGCAACTCCGAGGATCACCATCCTTAGCTCTTGATAAGCCTGTAGTCGTGACAAGAGCCAAAAAGTCTCAAGCTGCTCCAGGTAAGCCTCATCTTGCATGATGAAATCCCAAACGACCAAGATCCTTCAGTTTCTTTAAGTTACTTTGTTTCAGCTTCCTCCATTTCTGGCTGCTTGATTTGTATTTACAGCCAGACGCAACATATTATGTACTCTGTGTGTGTAATTATACATGCATGACAAATGCCCTTTAGACACTTGTCCTCTAGTGTCAGTTTTTCTATGCACAGTGAAAACCAGAAGCCTAGATCATCTGCTCCCATAGCTTCCAAAGCTTGTTAATCCCATTGGAAGCACTTGCTCTGCACAGGAAACACCAGCAGGAACCAAGGAACTGGGGACCTATTGTTCTTGAGATGCCATGACAGACTGTGCATTTCTCTCTGTCACTGGGAACTACAAGGTGAACCCTAGAGTTTGCATCTCCTTTCCTGGCTGAGGGTCTGGACCAGCAGCTCCCTGTTCATCTGTTCAAACATCACTTGTTTTTTCACTACAACTCGTAAGATCTGGACACCTAATAGATACATGGAATCAAATTTGCATAAAGGTCTTCAAGTGTGTTATACCATTCAGCTTCAGTCTTGCAGCCCCCAGCCCAGTGGGGGACTTTCTGTAATAATGAATAAACCACATGAGTTCCAGAGGAAACTGCATGGAAGCAACCTTGTGCCTGGGAGAGATACATATACAAGGGGATATTTGGGCAAATATTGCTTCTTGCACTACCAAACTCAACCCTTTGGGTTCTGAGCAGGCAGCAAAAAGCCAGAAATAAGTTTTCACCTATTTCAGTAAGAAAATTCCCACCCTTTTCCAGTGTAAGCTGAGCCCTGAAGGGCTACTCTAATATGGAGGTCTTGCAATACTTCTGGAAGGTGTTTAGTGCAGTTGTTCGAAAACCTTTTCCCCACAGACCACCTGAACATCGCTGAGGGTCTTGGCAGATTGTTTTAGCAAGTGGAATATGCTGTGCTAAATGCCATATGGTTTTTAATTGTATTTGTATTGCTTCCTTTATTTCTTATATATTGCATTTTATGAGAGAGATACAGGCAGCAATACAAATAAAAATCAATATGGATGTTTAATGCAATGCATATGCCATTTCTCTTCTTCAGCCACAAATCCAAACACTCCATGGGCCAACCTGAACGGAGCTTTTCCTTGTATGGGGATGGATGTGTTGGGGAAAGCTTTACTTGCTTAAAATTTTGTCCTGATGGCTTCCTACTAAAAGTATAGGAGGGGGAGAAAATATTAATACGAAATCTTGGTTGCTTGAACATCCTTCAGTATCTCAAAAAGAGATCTAAATTTATGTATTGATAATCCATTTATTTAAATTAATGGGCAGTTGATTATTCAACCAAAAATCTCCGTTTGTAAATTTTTGGCACCCTACTCCAGTAGAATGAACATAGATGAGGTTGAGCTTAGGGAGACTTTATAAAAAGTATAAATAAAACCCCACTGATCAAGCTGTCAGGTGGGGAAGAGCCCAATTCCTAGCCTCAATGGGCTGAGGTTTTCCTTTCTGCAAGTGTACTGCAAGTGTCCAGCATTCTTTTCTCACAGTGGCCAACCAGATGCCTTTGGGAAGCCCACAAGTAGGACCTGTGTGCAACAGCGCTCTCCCCGGCTGGCGTTCCACAGCCACCACTATTCAGAACATCAATACCTCCACCACTGAAAGCGAAACACAGACAAACATGTGGACACTTGACAAGTCCTGTCCACAGCTAAGATCACAGAACTTTCTATCTGCAAGCCCCAAGTTAAATTTTCTTTTTGAAGTAGCATTACTTCCTTTCCTGCCCCGCACCCCACTTAGAACACAGCTGGCTGTGGTTTATCCTTCTGGTTTCTCTCTTCAGGGTTCAGGTTGCTATCGGGATTTAAATCTTCCCTGAAGCCTGTGCAGGACCTGAGACTTTGCAAGAGAAACACGTCACAAAGAACTTGAGCCTATTGCTGCAACCAGCCTCCCACAGTTCCCCACACCCAAAATCAAGGGACAAAATTGTTCAGGTACAAAAGTGACAGCCATTTTATTGAAGTAGCAGGTGGGCCCTAAAAGGATGGCAAGTAAAAGAACTGGAAACTGCAGTTGTTTGAGGGCAGGGGGAGTGTTCTTGGTTCTGATCTTTCAATATTTAAGTGAATACTACTCTGAACAGTAAAGCAGGCAGCACTGCCCCATCCAGAAGGTGATGACTTCAGATGCCAATTGCTGATGCAGGAATTCTGCAGCATCTCTGCAGCGGGAGTGATTGAAAGAGCCGTTATACCTGAGGCCAAAATTGTCCACCCCAAGTGGAGGCTACGTGGAGAAAAGGCACAGCAGAAACAAGGACTTGTGCACAGCTGGAACTCCTGGGCTTAGAGAAGCCTTTGAGCGGATTTCTTGCAGTGCATAGTCTGCTAATTTCTGCGCTGTGCCTCCAATGAACTTCCTAAATCACTGGGACCATCCAGGGGAAAACAACTGGGTCCAAGATAGCTTCCCCTCCCTGCCAAGTTAATTTTTTACAATGCAACTGTCTAGAGTCAGAGCTATGGTGATATTCAGCCTTTACAAGCCCATTTCAACACAATACAGTACACATTTTCCTCCCTAAATTCTGGTTTGACTTTCTTAAAACAAAATTCCTGTCAAGTTACCCCTTGTGCTTCCTGCCCCTTTCCTTGCCCTCCCTTCCTTTGCCCCCTTGGCTTGAAGGCAAAAGGGTGAGGGTGATGAACATGCAGCATTCGATGGTGTTCTGTCCTGTCTCGTCCACTTCCTGGATTCATGCGGCTGAAATGAAGACAAAATATAAAAAAAGAGAAATGGTCCTTAAGAACTCAAATGGAATACTTCTTTATGGCAGACAGAGAGAGGATAAGAAATCAAGGAGGGCGGAGGTTTGGGGTATTTAACAAACTTGTGTATTGCCCTTCATAATATTTATCCCAGGGTAGCTTGCAATGCAAATTAAAACAAAAGAGCAATAAAGATGATGGTGGGTGGCGAATGGACTGGCAGTTGCAATGGAGCTAAATGGACTGGCCAGTCGTTGTTGGGAAGTTCTTGTTCTTAGGCTCTCTTAATAAAACCTCCATCCCCTACAGGAAAACTAGCTCTCCCTTCACTATTAGATTATAACGGCCTTCCTTTAGAAGGCCTCAAAGGATTCCCAGTGTACAGACCAAAGCTGCTTACGCTCAAGGGATTGTTCATAATCTTAAACTAACAAGGCACCATCAGTGTCTCAGAGACGGCAACAAAAGCAAGCCTCGGACCAGGTGATTTGCAAGCTTGATTCAGTTGCATCCGTCTCCAAGCAAAGCCATGCAATCTGTGCCCCCAGAAACCTAAGCACCTGAGTAGAGTTCTCTGTTTGGATAAGAGATTAAGGCAAGAGCAGCCATAGGTTGGGCGCAAATGGGAAAGGGCTGCAACCCCATGGGATGAATGGGTCTTTTTAAAATCACAAATTCTGTGAAATGGGCCTCCTCTTGGAAAGAGATTCTCTTTTTTATAAATCACCATTTTGAGAAGGTGTAATCATGTCCCATTCTTTTGAATCCCATGAGAAAATATCATCAAACATCAGTTCTGAGAAAAACTTTACAAAAACAGAACAAAACATTTTGAGGGGTGAGAATGATATGCCTCCCCAGTGCCTTCAGATAATACAGTGAGACAAGGCAATTTAGATTTCAGGACTGTTATCAGGCCATCAAACAGGCAAATATTTTCGACTAAACTACATAATTTCCATTGTGAATTTTCTTTTTTCAAAGCTGCAAAATGCCTCTCAATATACTCTGCAGTTCAATGGGTTAAAGTGTTCTTCTCACTGCTGCGTTTCTTGCGCAGCAAAATACTATTTCAGCCTATTTAATCAAAAGAGGAGCACAGGTCTTTCAGAAGAGTCATTTGGGAGCAAAAATGCATTTAAGAACAATGTAAGAACAATTAAAGGAAGGATAAAAAGAGAGAAGTGGAAAAAAGACAAGGACACAGGTCAGTGGACAGGCACAATGACTTCCCTCCCCCCACACCCACCCGCCAAGGGCACTCTATACTTTACAGTCCCTGATCTATCAAGTCAGCTACACATACACAAGGACAAGAGAGCTGGAAGGTTGTGAGGCTAACTGGCAGATATAAATGTGATCCCAGAGGTAGACAGCAACATCCACACATGCTAGAATTTGCACCTTTATTGAGTTGCAGCAAAACACAGGAAAAGACCCCGGCAGCCACAAGAGCCAGGTGAAGGCGAGCAATGTAGCTGTAAGCTGGCATGATGAGCCCCGCAGATGGAAGCACATTATGAAATCAGAGTTCCCTCCCCCACCCTCCGCACGCCAGCAACATTGCCGCTCGTCTCAAGAAAACTCAAGTGCATCTCAAGGATATCACAAAGGCAGGTCAAGTTTGAATGAGAACAACAAGGATCCTTCAAAGCAAGATTGCAAGAGGGAGAGCAGGGGCTCCATTTCCATATCACTTCACTGAAAGGCAAGAACAGGGTCACTCCCAGCCAGCCTTCCCCAGCCTGGTGCCCCCTGCCTCCGTGTTATTTTGGAGTACAACTCGCATCAGTTCCAGCCATGCTGAGAGTTGCAGTCCATACCATCTGGAGGGCACCAGGTTGAAAAAGGCTGCCTTGGCGGGATACAAAGTCAATTCTCATGAATAAATTAAGTGTGCCAGGAATACAGGGCAACAGCATCCAGGCTCTGCCAGACCATTGTTAAGTGGGTTTTCAGTTTCTTCACCACGAATACAATCTGGCCCACATTCTGGCGCCACCGCTAACCTGCCAGAGGAAGGTAAATGGGAGGGAGTGTTGATTGTCTTGCACCTTTGCCCCACGGTGGCACAATTCAGCACAAAGCCTAGGAACCCTCCGTCTGCATTCTCACCTTGTCAAACCAGTCCTCATTTTGCCATCTTATGCAAGTTATGGCTTGTACATTAATATACTAAGCCACAAGCACACACACAAAACTTATGAAGAAGTTATGCAGAGTAGATGCTTCCACATATGGGCTTCCTATTTCAGGCTTTCATCATGAAGTTGTAGAAGTATTGGATATGCACCGCACTTCCAGTGATGTGCTGGTTGTAGAGTTTCCGCTTGGCCCATGGAAGAACAGGATGTGCCCGTGTCTCTTCACACAGGTGCACACATCTGTGCTGCTTTTGCACACCCCTTCTTTAAGCTGACATGGCATTTAATTTCCTGCAGTTTTAGAGCCAAGGACTTAGGACAAGGCCAGCCAGCAACTTTGCTTCCTGCCCACAGCTGCTAGTTTGTGACCTTCAGAACTCCTACAACATCGCACCGGAACAGGAGAAGCGGCAGCAATTTTCCAGTTTAACCCTGTCGCCAAGATGAGTAGCAGAGCGCTTTCACTTTTGACTGAACAGGCGCAGCAGCCTAGTTCCCAGGTTCCGGAAAGCGGAGCGTGAAGCTACTGCGCCCCCTGCAGGCCACCTGCACACAGCCCAGAAGCTCTTCAAAAAATATATGCATACAAATTGGAGAAAGCACGGCATTTCCGTTTAATGGGCAGTATATAAACAGCCTTCCTCCCTTGCAACTTGGCACCTCTCCTACAGAGCTTGCTTGTGCAGACCCCAGAAGACAGGAAAGGAGAAGGAAGCATCAGACAGGAGAGCCCTAAACAAACATAACCAGGTCTTTACATGTTGCTTTTGAGAAAGCTGCCAGGATGCTGGCAAAAACCACATCAGGGGACTGGGAAGCATCCACAGCCGTATGGATCCCACGCCTGCTATAGTAGTTAACCAGCGGCGACGTCTGGGTGTGGTAAGCCTGCAGACGAGTCTTCAAAGCTCCTTCGTTGTCATCTGACCGGCGTATCAAGGGCTCCCCAGTGACCTAACCAAGAGCAAGACATAAAAGCAGGGATAGCTAGTGATCTGGACAGCAACACCCGTGTCACCTCTGAACACTGACCATGCTCATCATAGCAGGCCAAAAGGACCAAAACTTCAGGATACTGCAAGACGCGAGAGCCTTAGCAAGCTTAAAACCTGATGCTACTAGCTTGATGACTCCCAGGAAATCTCAGGTGCTATTCCAGTTTTCATCAGAGCTGGCCCAAGATAATCTGGTGTTCCAAGCACCTAAACTGTCCAGCTTAGGAGGTGCCCCCCATTATTCCTTGTACTGTTGCAGAGAATGCTGGGATGCAAACTCTGCCTAGGGCACTTTGCATTAAAAGGGGGGCAGCAGAATTCTGTACTCTTATTTTGCAGAATTTGTTTTGAGGTATTTTGTTTAATTTATTTTGTTGCTGCTAACCATTGGAAGGGACCAGAAGCTATTCCACTCCCTCAACCAGTGGAAATATTATTTCAGTCTTCCCTTTGGATACTGAGATGTTGCCTACACAGTTTCAAGCAGTCTTTCAGAGCCAGGAATGCAGGAGTCAAATACGTGCCCCCACCGCTGCAAGACACTGGTCAGGCTCTGGTGAGTGAAACAGTCCCACAGGTTCTGCTTTGGATAACCCCTCCCACTCAGCCCAACAATTCTGCAGAAGCTAGAGATATGTTCGGATCTGCACTTCTGATTCGATTAAACTGCAAAATTATCAGAGGATTCAAAGTCTAAATGCAATATCCATCATCAATTGGGAATTCAGTTTTTGTTCTGAATGAGTGACCCAGTCAAGACTGAAACCATAGCAAGACCTTTTTTAAAAATTACAGTATTAAATTAAATAAACTAAATAAGTCTATCCAGCCTCCTGAAGGCATCACAGAGCAATCAAAGGCATACTGAATGGAGCCCCAAAAGGGAAAATCAAAATGGGAAGGTTACATACATCATCCTTCATGTGGACCTTAGGAGGATTGAATTCCTCATGGTATGAGCGGCCACTTGCTGGGTGAATAAGCCTGAAAGAGACCAGAGCAGTCAGTCAAGTGCATTTCAGAGCAGGTCAAGGGGAGGAGTTATGGAGGACAATTTTCTTCAGAACTAGAACTACAAGCATTTGGATCAGGCATTAGGGCTGATACTGTAGCATCAGTGAATCTAAACAGGTGGTCAGTCCTTGGATGGAGACCACTGGTTTTTTTAAATTAAAAAACACCTGTATTTATACCCCACCTTTCTTCCATCAGAGAACACAAGATGACAACACAGGATTCCGCCATCCAGACTAACCATATTTAAAACCCTCTTGGGTTCAATGTATAACTATGAAATAAGTTTTAAACGGGGTGTGGAGGGGAGACACCATAGCAGAGGTAGGGAACCTGTGGCACTCCAGATGTTGGTGGGAATCCTGCTCCCATCAGCTTCAGAAAACAACATTGCAGAATGCATCATATGCCCTCAGACAGTGCCCTGGGACTTGTTCTCCAGAACAGGAGTTGCCAGTGCGGTGCCCATGGGTGCAAAGGTGTCACTGCCTCTTCCGTTATGAGATGGTAAGCAGGGCTAGTGGAGGTTGTACATGGAGCGGAAGGAGGAAGCTGGAGGAGTGGCACTCTATCCCACTTCCTCCGTCAGCTTTATGTGTTTTTCAATGCTCAGGTTAATTCTACTGGATCCAACTTTTAACCAGCTCCCTTGGAAAAGCACACTTTCTCTCTTTCTGTCTCTTATGGTGTGTGTGTGTGTGTGTGTGTGTGTGTGTGTGTTAGATTTGCAGGAGGGGAGAGATAAGTGGCCAGAAGAGATTGTACCCATGGCACTCACTCAAAAACACCAATGTTCCCACAGGCTTAAAAAGGTTGGTGACCCCTGCTGTAGAATATACAGAACAAAAACATAAACTTTAATGGGGGGAGTGAACAGAACCCTTCAACAAAGGGTTTCCTTGTAATTCTATTAGCACTGCAAGCAAGAGCTATCTGCTCCCCACACATTGCACAACTGCACTCCTAGTTTTGTTTTATAAAGGTTGTAACATGCAGCACCTAGCTTTTCTGAGTGGCTCAGCATATGGAAACTCCCCTCCCCACCCCACCCGTTTCCCCCAAAGTGGCAGTTACCGTCCAGTGATTCTCCGGATGAGTAAGGAGTCAGCAACACTGAATTCAATGACAGAATCTAGTTTCTCTTTTCTCTTTTCCATGAGCTCATCCAGCTGCAGCATTTTAAGAGAATGGAAAGAAGAACTACTTTTAAAATGCACAGAACGAGTGGATTCAGGCCTAAGAAAATCTCCTCTGAAACAAGAAAAATGAAGGCAGCTGGATCCTCAGCAGGCCTGGAGCTCAGCAATGGAGCCCAAACTGAGCCATTCCAAAATAATGATCTCCATCTATGCGCCCACATTTTTCCAAACAGAATATACACCTCCTCCCACTTTACTGTGGGGCGTTACAAAATAGCTCCCTTCTGTAGTTTGCAATCCACTTCATCAGATGCAGAAGCACTGGCCTTAGTTGTAACTCATGATTGCTGGGGAAGGGAGTGTGGTCTTTGCCAGCAGTGAGGTCAAAATGAAGTGAAAGGGATAAGTATGTCATTAACAGTGATCATTCAGAAAATTAAGTTGTTGCCGATAACACAGACATCCTGGGCATTGACAAGCCAATTAACACATGCCCTGTGATAAATATCCTTTGTACAATAGTGTTGCCAGGGTCCAGACCTGGTGGCAAACCCAGATGCCAGCTCTGTCCTTGTTTCTACTCTAGCAACACAGTCACAGTAACTTCCAATGTCAAAGGTTCATTCACTTGTTCGTCTTCCAGTTTGCTACATATCGTCCTCTGGCAGCAATGCTCTTCTGCATTCTACACAGCCAAGTGTTCTGCTCAGGATGTGAACGGGGCTCCAGAACAGATCCTGTTCGCATCCAAAGGTACCACTGTGCATGTGTTAACCAAGAGCAGGATGTCTGCACTATCACCAAGTGTTTTGTTTTGTTGGTTGGTTAATGGCCAATATTAATAACATATGTACTTTTCTGCTTTTCATTTCATTTTATGCTCAAGTGTTTACAGTTACACACACACACTTGAACTCTGGATAACACTTCATCTGATGAAGTGGGCTGTAGCCCATGCAACCTTCTGCCACGATAAATCTTTAAAGTGCCACAATACTCTTGGTTGGTTCTGCTTCCACAGACTAATGCAGCGGCACTTCTGGAAACTCTTATCCCCAATCTTAGAAGATCCAAGGGCAGGGATCAGGAATCACGTACCATCTCTGCTTGTCGCACTGTGCGAGGAAACCCATCCAAAAGGAAACCATTCTTGCAGGAGGGCGTCTCCAGGTTTTTGTCAATCAGCTCCACCACCATTTCATCACTCACCTTACAATTTGGAGTGGGGTGGGGGGTGGGGGAGGGAGAGAGAGGGGAGAGAGAGAGAGAGAGAGGAAAATGAAGTCTTGATACAGTGTCACCAGCATATCAAACATGCTTACCCTACCCACAATACTTTTTTCTTCCAAGAAGTCCTTGCGGCTATAAAGTAAGTTTGAAACTAGAAGTGCAAACACACTAAAGGATCAGAAAACAAGAAGACAGAAAGGATAGCTTTAAGACCTTGTGTTGCACTCAGGATATCCCAGTTTATGCAACAGCTAGTGCAATATTGCACCTTTGATTTCAAAAGAGGAGCCACAGAACAAAAGCAACATCCCCACAATTGCTAACTCTCTCTATTCAAAGTGCACCACAGCACAGAAATTGTGCAGCCTGAATGTGGCTGGGGGTGGAAGAGGACTGTCAGTGTCAAGGGTCAGTGCTCTGGTGTTCCTACTCCCAGCTAAAGATTGAACTAAGTGATCTTATGATCCCTCCCACCTATAACTTTCATGAAAGCTTCAGATTTTAAATTTCCTTTTATTCCTACGCACCAGGAATACATATATAAGTTTCTGGTCTAGTTCTCAGTACTGAAAAAGCTACTGTTATCTCCCATCTCAAGACCTGGGTGTGGTGTGCAGTCAACGCAGCTTATTGGCTGCAGGTAAAAAACCACATTATCTAGAATATCCAGCCATGCCCACAGTGCTCTTGGGTGTCTTAGGCCAGTGATAATCACAGTGGTGGCTTGAACGGAACAGATAAGCATTATCCATCACAGTCATGCTCTAAAACTGTAACTCTGAACAAAGTCTTGTTTGGAAGGCCACCAGCTATGACACAACAAAATGCAGGCAAACAGAAGAAGCCATCCACATGCAACCCTAACCATGTCAATGAAGACGTAAATCCTTCGATTCAATAGGGCTCACAGTCCTAAGTGAGGTTAGGACTGTGGTCCTAGACACCAAGTCTTGGCCTAAAGATGTCTACGAAGCAAACAGAGAGGGCAAAAGGGCATCTTTCATCAGTTCAGCTGCTGGCATAAAACTGGAATATGTACACTTTGATCCAAAGTATTATTTGTAAAAGGTCAAACAGCAGCTAAATGAGCTAAATGAAATTTACAGAGGTGCATTTGCCAACCTGGAACCCTTCTGATGTTTTGACTGGGGCTGACAGGTGTAGAGGTCCAAAACATCTGGAAGGCACCAGGCTAGCAAAGGCTAGACTAGACTACTGCTAGTTCAAATATTTTTGTTGCTTCAAATAATGTCATTTCATTAAGGTTTTAGACATGAAACATTTCACACATTGACCAGGAAAGGATGGAGATGGATGGAAAGGAAGACAGAAAACATTTGTTTCCCACCAATTCTTCCTGGTTTGTAAGCTAGACTGCTTTTATCACAGCAGTCAGGAAATCTAAACTGTACGATGAAAAATTTAAAAGGTAAAGAGGCACTCAAATTTCTTTAGCCAGGAACGCCAGGAAAACTACTTGAACAAAAAAGAAAAGAAGGCAATGCAATTGGAACACCAAGCCTCACTTCCTGCAACCAGTTCATAAATCAAAATCCATGCCCAGGGCGATGTGTGACACGACTCCACCGGGCGGTGTGCTGAACGTGTCCACAGAGGTTCTGTGCTCAACTCCAAAACTCTGTGGACACGTTCAGCACACCACCGTTTCCAAATCGTTTCCAACTCTCAGTCACATAAATCAGAGGCCAAAGAACATCATTACAGCATCAGCTGGTGCCAATACTCAATTTACAGAGCAGTTTTCAAAACCACTGAAGCTATTTAAAGGATATGGCCAAAGGGAATGGCTCAGTGGCAACGACCCCTCTGTACCTACCAGCTTTCCAGCATCCATCGTCTGCTTCAGCTTTTTGCCCAGCGGCGAGCCAGAAGCCACCATAGCTCTCAACATGTCACCTGTCGCCAAGTGACACACACAATAGGCCTCAGCTAGCCGAGGGGCCTGCACGGGAAAGAAGAAAGGAAACTTTAGGGGGAAATTCACAGAGCAGCAACTATAGGAAATAATTTTGGTGCATATAATTGAATTACATAGAAACTATGTTCACATGACCACTACAATACGGTAGAAGCTTTACTGTGCCAGGTGTGTGAATGTACTTTTTGCACTAAATCCTGCAGCGAAAGTTGGACCACTGAGTCCATCTAGCTTCGTTCTCTCCCAGCCCTACATGGAGACGCTGGAGAATGAACCTGGGACCTCCTGCATGCACAGATGCTCTACTATGGCCCTTCCCCTGTTGGAAGAAGGAAGCCTGGATTATAAGAATTGCTTTGGGGAATAAACTGAATGACTCAGTGGTGTCAGAGACTGCTAGTGAGAAAGGGATGCAGGATGAGTGTGTGAGGGAAGAAAGGGAAACTCCAGTAAGAGCCAAGAAGCAAGTAAGGGAAGGCAAAGATGACCCTAGAACAGCTCTGGATAATTTATTCTGGATTTTAGGATTAATTGACTCATAGAACCAGTAGAGGCCTAGGTGGTCACCTAGTCCAATGCTTTTCAGCTGTCTCCATATGTTGCTGGACTACAAACTCCCACCACCTCTGACCACCAACTACTAAACTATCTGGAGATGATGGGAGCTGTGGTCCAACAACCTCTGAAGGTCAATCTAGTCCAACCGCTTTTCAATGCAGGATGCAACTACTTCATTTGTGACTGGCAGATGTACAGTACCTGCTTAAATGCCTCCAATGAAGGAGAGACCGCCACCTCCCAAAGCATTCCTCTTAGGAAGTCTCTCCAAAAGTGCAGTTAAAATCTTCCCCCCCTGTAATTTCCACCCCTTGGTTTTAGTCCTGCCCTCTGGAATAATGGAAAACAAGTTTGCTCCTCCAAACTTTGAACTTCCATCCCCCTCAAATGCATCAGAGTGAAAGTCCTTCTCCCGCTCTGATCAGATATACTAACATGTTTCCTAAATTGTTGATAACTGAAGCACACTCCCTCCTGTATTAAAACTGGGAAGCCCACTTCACTCATACAGGGAAGGAGGCAAGTCCAGACCACTGACTCATGCAGAGACACAAGGATCAGTCGACTGACAGCAAAGAATTCTGCTATCAGGTGCAATCAAGTGGCATCCAATGCTGATATGAGGGAGCCTGAAAGGGAGGAAGCAAAGTCAAAGCAGTGAGTGCATACACAGACACTGAGGACAACCTCCTCCGATGAGCACTCTAGCCTCACAAGAGGCTTTAGCAATTTGTTCACTTCTTGCAGCAGGGCAGCCGTTCCTTCAGGGCATGCTACTTTGCCCTGGCCCACAATTTTTATACACTAAAGAATGCTGATGGTTTTTAGACAGGCAAGCAGCTGAAAGCCAGTGTTGCAAGAAATTATTTCAGACATGTGATAGTGCCCCACCCAGCACTGTACAAAGGGCAAGCTGCTTGCCTTGCAACAGAGCAGAACGTAGATTAGTTGGGGCAAAGGAGAGAGGTGGTTTTTTCACACAGCAAATGAAGTCCTACTCCAAACAACTTTCTGTTTTTGACACCCCAGCTTTAAATGCAGCGGCTTACATATGCTGCAACATCTGAGGCTGCACATCTTCCACAGGAAGTAAACCTTCCTTCACAACATGGGATAGAAAAAAGTCCCCACAGCTTTCACACACCTTTTCTTTCTTTCAGAGTATGGACATGTGTTGTGTAGTGGTTAGTTTCAGACTAGGCCTTGGGAACCAGGCTTCAAATCCCTGCTCAGCCATGAAGCTCACTGTATGACCTTGAGCCAGCCATTGCCTCCCAGTCTAGCCTACCCACCTAATAGGGTTGTTGTGGGGATTTAATGAGGAGGGGGAGAAGCACTAAATAAATAAATCTCACCCTACGCAACAGCGACTCCTGGCTATGGCAGTTTTACTCAAAACTAAACAAAAAACTCGGCAGTTACGTTTAAGTAGTACTAAAGCCCTACAAAGCAGGAACTTGCGGCAAAGTCCTATTCATTCGGGGGGACTTGCTGGAATAAAAATGTTTCCGGGAAATGTCCTGCGCTGGAAAGGGGGTCCCTGCACAGCCTGGGAATCCCGGACTCCTGGGTTCCCTTAGAGGAAGGGGGAAGGGGCAAAGAGGGTCGACTGGGGACCACGCAGTGCGGCTGCCGGACCCTCCACAGCCAAACGGGAGAGAGAAAAGGGCAGGAGCGGGGGAACTGGGGAAGTTCCCTCGGGGAGGGGCTGGGCATCCCGGACGCCTGGGTCCCCTCACCTGGGTCCCCTTCCCCGCCCCAGGCGGCCCGAGCAGCACAGCCCGGATGCCTTTGCGGACCCCGCGGCCGAGGCTTCCTTCCGTCCCGCATTCCTTGCTCGGAGCCATCGCCGCGATCCTCCTTTGCCGCCTGACCCCGGAGAAGGCGTGCGGAGAGGGCCCGCCCCCTGCCGGGCTTCCCATTGGCCCGCGCTCCCGGTCCCGTCCCTGCATGGCGTCCCTGTGGCCCAATAGCTTCGGAACAGCTACGGGCGTACTTGCTGCTGATTGGGGGACGCGAGGGTTGAAAGGGGAACGCGAAGCGGCTTAGCTGCGCCTGCGCGCTCTCAGCTGAGCGGCCACGTGTGAGGCTGCCTTTGGAAGGGCTGTTTGGGCAGAGATACTCCTCTTCCCTGCAAATCTCGAGAATTAGCTCTTAGAATCATGGAATTGTAGAATTGTAAAGATGGAAGGGATCCCAAGTGTCATTAGGTCCAACCCCCTGCAATGCAGGAATCTCAGCTAAAGCATCCATGATAGATGGGCATCTTCTTGCTGAGGCGGGTGGCGCTGTGGTCTAAACCACTGAGCCTCTTGGGCTTTTGCCGATCAGAAGGTCGGCAGTTCGAATCCGCTCACGACAGGGTGACCATGTTGCTTTGTTCTAGCTTCTGCCAACCTAGCAGTTCAAAAGCATGCCAGTGCAATAGATAAATAGGTACCGCTGCGGAGGGAAGGTAGACAATGTTTCTGTGCACTATGGTTTCCATCACGGTGTGATGGAAGCGGTTTAATCATGCCCCGGAAAGCTGTCTGGACAAACGCTGGCTCCTGGCTCCTTCACCGCATCCCATAGAGTCTCCTTTGACTGGACTTTAACCATCCAGGGGTCCTCTATTATCACTATCACTGCTTTCATTGATGTTTTCTAATATGTAAGTAGTTTTTAAAAAAAGTATATGAAAGCTTGTTAGCTAAATAAATGGTGCTACTATATAAATGCTACTATATCACCATCAAAGTGCATGGAGCTTTAGAGAAGGGGCGGACACACTGGGATCGACTTCGACTAGATGGTCGATTTGTAAGAGAGGGTGTTTCTCGTATTTATTTTTGCATAACATGTACAATATGTATGAAAAGGGCATCAGAACAAATATACACCTTGTTGAAAAAGCAGGAACATAAAATTATCAAAAAGCAAAACTATTATAAGGCTACCAACAACTAATACTGAAGAAAAGAAAAGTTTGAAGGGACATAGGGCCAAATAAAGTCAATATCGACGGAATCTGTCTGTCTCGGGAGACAATGGAGAAGTGCACCTTTGGAGGGAAGTCAGACTGCTGGAAGCCAAACTTGGCAAGAATGAGATGCTGGATAGCCTCAATGGGAAAGAGTTTTAACAAAAACATTTATTCCACCTGTATATAGGGCTGCTGAAATGAAGAAACCTGTGCAGCACTGGAGTTCTGTGCGAAACTGTGGTGAGATCAGTGCAGTTCTGGTAGTGAAACCAAATTTATTGGCTTAGAATATGCTCAGAAGCACCCTGCCCTTTAATTCTAACTGCATGTCTTTTGCACCTGGCTCTGGTTGGTAGATCTTGGGATTCTAGTGGGAAAAAGCAGATTCTGTAATCTGCTCAACCCCTTACTTTGCCTAATGTAAGAAGACAGGTCTCTGGGTTAGATGTTTACAGTCTAATATTTTGCGGGCTTGAGAACTTATGGAGGGGAGGAGAAGCAGAACATAGTTTCTTATGCAAAAGGACCCAGGTTCAACTCCTGGCATTTCTAGGTAGGACTTAGAAAGACTCTTCCTAAAACCCTGTAGAGCCATGGTCAGCTGTTTTGGCCCTCTAGCTGTTTTGGGACTACAATTCCCATCATCCCTGTCCGCTGCTCCTGTTAGCTAGGGATGATGGGAGTTGTAGTCCAAAAACAGCTGGAGGGTCAAGTTTGGCCATGCCTGGTGTAGACCAAATTTCCATTGGCTCCAGCGGGATGTGCCTGATGGGAGAGGTAGTTCCTGGCAGAGGATCTCTGCCGCCAGCACTCCAACCTTGGTGACCTTTGTGCCTTGAAGAACATGCAGTTAGCAACCAAGTGAGCATAGAGTCCATAGGTCTCCTCTTGTCCCATTTGAATTAGAATAAAAGTTTAAACCAGCCTGCCCCTACTCTTATCAGCCTTACCTGAGCTGTCTATGCTGACAGTGGCTTTTAGGAGTTGTAGCCTAAAACAGCTGGAGGGCACTGAGTTGGGGAAGGCTAATTTATACTCTGTAGACAACACAGCAGCAATCATTTTAAACAGTGAAATGAGGCCATTAACATTGAATGTAGCCATATTATTGTGGTCATTGTGGTGTTCTTTAATTTAAAAAAATGCTACAATCCTACATGGGACTCTCTTGTGATCATTTGTAGAAGCTTTGACGAATGCTTATAAATCAGGGATGCTCCCCCCGGATGGTTTTTGCCTTTGTTAATCAGAATGCAACCTTTCTTCAGTGGTATGTGGGGCGTTTATAAGAAATCACTGTTTGTGGTAAGCTCACCCTCTAATCCAGCAAGAGATTCAAGCTCTTGCCAATCAAGTCTTCAAAAATATGACTATTTGAACTATTTTCCATCCGAAATGTGCAGACAAATTAGAGAGCATGGCATGTATAAAAACAAATTCAGGATCCTCCAGAACCACTGAGTCAAGGCTAGGATGGCTGCATTGTTGGTTATTTTTGTTTGTTTCTCCAGCTGTGTCTTAAGGTCAAGAACTTGCCTTGAGAGGAGAAGCAGAATAACCTTGTTATTGCTGGAAGAGGGATTCATTTCTCCCTTCTGGCAAAAATTCAAGGATGCATTGTTAGTGCTGACAGTGGAGTAGATAAACCCCTCAAAAGACATGGCTCAAAAATTAATACAAAAGTTAAGCATTGAAGAGTACATCAGTTCTGACAGGCATAAACTCTAAATGGTTAGAGTGTTTGGCTATGACGTGGGAGACTATGATTCAAATCCCCACTTAGTCATGTTCAATGGGTGACTTTGGACCAGTGACCATCTCTTAGCCTAACCAACCTCACAGGGTTGTTGTGAGGATGAAATGGGGAGGAGGAGAACCAGCTTAAGCTTCTTGGAAGATAGAAGTGGCATATAAATGTACAGTGGTACCTCAGGTTAAGTACTTAATTCGTTCCGGAGGTCTGTTCTTAACCTGAAACTGTTCTTAACCTGAATCACCACTTTAGCTAATGGGGCCTCCTGCTGCTGCCGCGCCGCCGGAGCCCGATTTCTATTCTTATCCTGAAGCAAAGTTCTTAACCTGAAGCACTATTTCTGGGTTAGCAGAGTGTGTAACCTGAAGCGTATGTAACCCGAGGTACCACTGTAATAAATAAATATTATTTGTACACTTCATTGGACTGTCACCAGTCTTTAAAATGTCTTAAAATTATAGAGTTGGAATGCATCCCTAGGGTCATTCCTGCAATGCAGAAATCCTGCCCACAGCCATCCCTGGGGGGACTTGAACCACCAGCTTTCTGGTTAACAGTCAGATGCATTGACCCTTTACACCAAACGATCAATTGCAAGCATTTTCATTAATGCTTCATCAACTGCATCTGCATCTGTTTGCATTGAAGCAAAGCAGTAGGTCTGAAGAAGAAAAAATATGTATTTTGCTTTTAGATGATGCTCACTTGAGTGACCCCACAGAAGATGAATTTCCTTATGCACGTGTGAGAGGAAAAGCACCCTCAATTTATGTGAGTATAAGTATTGGCAACAGGTTTTTTAAAAAGATAAAAACATTAACTCTTAGAAAACACCATGACTTTCTCTTCTCCCCCAACCTCCAGCTGTTACACCAGGAGGATTACAGTAATTAAGCCAGGCTGTCAGCAGCACAGCACACAAATCCAGGCCAGGAAATGCTTCACTCTGGTTGCAGCCTCAAAACTACAGAATAATGAGGGATTCCCTCCAGAGGTAATTTCGCAGCCACAGAAGGATTTTCTAGACCGCGGCAGGGAAGCAATGAACTACACCCATCCAGTGCTGTGCACTGCTGTCCTGATTCAGACAGGGTGGGCAGAGAGACAGCAGCATTGCAGCAGTTGCTGTTGAAAACCATACTAAAATACACTGGGTGTAAAGTGTTAGTTGGCCCAACTGACACAAGGGAGGGCCAGTCAGGGGAGGCTGGTCATGATCCAGCAGATGGCCACATGCCCTCTTGGAGAAAGGCAAAAGGGAAGAATAATATTGCCCTTCAACTACTGTGTTAGGAAATGCACGTGATTCTGCCCATCATTAAAAGCTGAAGCCGGTAGGTTTTGGGGTGTGGGTATGGCATATCAATCTCCGCCACGCGGTTTTAAACTGCTTTGAGGTTTTTGTTTTACCATCAGGTGGTACATAAATTTTATAAAGACGAGAGTGTCAGGGAGCCCATGGGTTACAAACAGCCTGCGTAGTACCACCCAAACATCGCACCCTGGATTTGTGGCCAGCGGCAGAGCTTTATTCAGCCTGGTCAGGAAGCCCACATTAAAGCAAATGCCTTCTTAGCAAGTGGAGAGGTGCTGGGGACCCAAAAGCCACATCCCTTGAGTTTGGGGAGCAAGAGAAAGAAACTTGCTGCCTCTTTCACAAGCCTAAGCAACTCATGCAGGTCAGACACAAGTTGGGCTTGACCCAAGCCAAGCGGCTGCCCCAGTGGCGGCACCAGAACCTCAGGCTCCCCTGTCAGGTTGCAGGGCTGAAATTATTGGGTGGCATCGTGCAGCCATTTGGAGGGACACACAAATGTTTTGGACACCAGCTCTGAACTATTTCAGTTCTGCTGGTTGGGAAAGCCATTCCACCACCAGCAGCAATAACACACATCCCCACCATACCCACATTAGCCTGTGAAAGTGACAGCTTCCCCCCTTCCCCAAACTCTGGGATTGTCCTCCATGCCTTGCCTGTAGCTGCACCTGTGTGCAGCTGAAGCTGGAAGGAGAGAGAAAGAGAAAAAGGAGGATGGAGTGTCTGTGCTTTGTTTTCTCTCCTTCAGCCAATCGGATTGCTGTGCTTGGTTGCCAAGGCTACCCTTGTGAGCAGAGATGGAGGGGGCAGCTGCCTATATAAAGGACCAGCATTCCTCCTGTGTCTAAGATTAGCTGGAGCTGCTTTGCATGGTGTAGGCTTTGGAGTGGGGGGAGGAGGAGGAGCAGCCACTGCCGAAGCCTATATTTACTCTTGGGAGACCCATGGGCAAAATCCGTTTAAATGCTTTTTAAGGTGGGTGGAGGGGTATTCTGGGTACCAGGATGGGTGGGGAGGGGATGGAGGCTCAAGGGAGAGAAGAGGGATGGTAGTGTATCAGAGGGAGGGGGCAGGGAAGGGAACGAGTTTCTTGCATGGTTGACTGAGCTGTTCTGGTAACCAGGTGGATTTCCTGCCCCACATCCTCCATATCCCCACCCCTTACAGAGATCTTGGATCCCCAGCAGCAACTGCGCCTCGGGGTGTTGCAAAAGCTCAGAGTTCACCGGAGAACCCCCCTGGCATTACACCTAGCCACCCAGGAAGGAGGAAGGCTTCGGGACTTGGTGAGGCCTTGGGAGGAAAGGATGGAGGTGGGGTGGAGTGGAGGGTGGGGTGGGGTGGGGTGGGGAAGGGCGCTTCCCAGGGAGAGGAGGGAGAAAGGGAGAGGGACAAACATTGCAGGCACACCTTCCCCTGAAATGGGCACCTTTCCCCCTCCCCAAACCCCAGGTCTGCACTTCACTATTATTAATGTGGGTTAAAGACACAATGCCCCTGTTTTGTTTTTGTGTTTTGTGGCAGGGGGAGGAGACAGAGAGAAAAAGACCTTGACGTATATATGCTGTTGTTGGCAGGTTCAGGACAAATAAAAATAAAGTCCTCCTTTATGCAGCTCATATTTAAAACCATGGCATTTGCATGGCCACCAACTTGGATGACTTTGAGAGAGAACTGGGCAAATTCACGAATATTACTGTTGTTATTATATTATTTGTTATTATTAATCACCTATCCACTGTAAGGTCCTCAGAGCAGGTCACAGTGTTAAAACACAATACTGTATGGATAACAATTTAAAACAACTCGCAACCATAAAAATAAGGCAGTTCGTAAAATCATACACTTCAAATGTCGAAAGCCAGGGTAAAGAGGTGTGTCTTCAGCATTCTCCAAAAGCTGTATAATGAAAGTGGCAGATGCACTTCTGTGGAGAAGGTGATGCACACTTTAGGGGCTGCCACTGAGAAGGCCGTTACCCCCTAAGCCTTTGAGGGTAGAGGAACAACCAGGAGGGTCCCCTCCACTGACCTCAGCACCCAAGAGGTTCTGAAGGGAAGCAGATGGTCGTTCAGATATTTAGGGGCCTGTGTTATTTGGGGCTTTAAACACCAACATGGGGAGCTTGAATTGTGTTCAGAAATGACCTGGCAACCAGTGCAGCTGCTTTAAAACAGGATTATATAAGATTTAAGTGGAACCCCAGCCAGTAATCTGGCTGATACATTTTGGACCAATTGAAGTTTCCGAATTGTCTTCAAGGGGCTTTGCAATAATCTAGAGTGCATTGCAATAATCTAGTCTGGAAGTTACCAGAGCATAAGAGTACAGTGGCCAAGTCATCTCTGTCCAAAAGGGGCAAAAAAGCTACAACACCTTTTGTTAACAGCCACACATAGAAGCTTTTCCTATGCATCCCAGATGCCAGCTATATCCCTTAATTCCAAAAAGCTCAAATCAGTGGTTCTGACTTATCGATTGCAGGGCTGTTCCATTGGCTCAGCTGAGGCAACAGTAACTTTAGTCTCTCCATCATTGATTTCCATTCTAGTCAGTTCAATAAATGCTAAGTGTCTGAGTTTTCTGTTTTCCTCTTCCCTCCCAATCACTTTTCCTTTTGTGTCACATCTTTTAGATTAGAGGGCAGGGAGTGTCTTATTACTGTAAGCTGCTCTCAGAACCGTTTTTGGCTGCAGAGCAGGGTAAAAATGGCTTGGGTCCAAAGTGCTACTCAGAATCATGCAAGGTATTTCTGTTATCTAGTGGAATTCGCTTTTTTAAAATATGAAGAAGTGTTTTTGAAATGTTCCTCATTGCTGTGTGACATGAAAAGACTGTGATTCAGCCTAAAGTTGGTTTAGAAATTATAAATTCAAGTTTAATTGTTTATTCCCAGGTAAATGGGAACAGGATTGTGGCCTTAGCTGATGCTTTGGTTAGGTTAATCATTTTTTAAAACTCTTTAATCAGCTAAAAAGGGGGCTCACAATCAGGCCACATATTTGAAAAACATAAATTATATTTAATAAAAGTGTCTGTGCAAAAACCAAAACCCCTGCAACCAGCTAACAGTGTATTAAGAGAAACATTTCTCCCTTGCATGGAAGGAATGTCTCTTCAAAGATGATGCCTGCTATGGCACATGTGTGCATCTGCGATGCTCTAATCTCTTGCCCCTGAACTCTGTGCAGTGCCCCAAAGAAGATAAAGGACAAACTCTGCAAGATCCACTTGTCCCAACATGAGAAGAGAATGGAACAGATGCAACAGAGGTCAACAGAGGCTTGGTGAACTCCTGAAAGGCTGTGCCTTCAGCTAGGGAAAATCTCTTTCTAGACATCCACGTTTCTAGTCCTCATGACTGGTCATGAGGAATAACTTGGGTCGTGCCCATGGAGGCAATGGAAGGCATGGCTGCTGAGCACCTTTCCTTGGCCTGAATGGGAGAGGAGGAGGAGCCTGCCTTAACTGTTCTTCTCCTTCCTTTTCCTTCGCAGTGTGTTGCATACTTAAAAACTATACCCCCTACTGACGGAGGCTTTAGAAGCAATATCCTCCTTCGACAGTAACGATGACCAGGTACTTGGATGAATCGGACATCATGATGGTGGAGGAGGGCTTCACCACCAGGGACTTGCTAGAGAATCTCCTCCTGGAGGTTTCCCAGGCGGTAAGAGGCAGGGGCAGTTGACTTACTGGGTGGGTGGATTGTAGCCCTTTTGGTGTCTTTGCATCCCATTATGCTCTGTCCATACTAGAGAGTATGACACTATCATGTGCATAGGGGAGGGAACAGTTTACCTGAGCCTGTCATTTTTCCCTCTCTTTTTTTTAAAAAAAGTTTTATAAAAATTGCACTAACATGCTTCTTAAATATCAGCGCTATTTCATGATGATTAAAAAGGAGAAGGAAAATTGCAATAAAATGACCTGACAGGAAAGACAGAGCACAAGTGCAGGACTCCAGGTTTTACAAGGGTTGGGAGCAAGTTTCCCGACCTTTCAGTTTGAAATATATGCTTGAAAGTCCATGTGCTGTTCCTGGCGAAACCTTGGGAGCCACAGGAATAGTAGCTGAGCAGGATTCCCTGGGATCAGGGCAAGGAGCCTGCTTCAGGGCCCTTCCTAACACTTTGCATCTCCCCCTTTCGCTTGCAGAAGCAGAATAAACCACACAAAATAAGAGTAGCCAGCTTTGTGCAGGTGTAACTTATACAGGTCTCAAAATTCAGCTTTCCATATGGTATAGTTGGAGTGCAGAGATTTGAATTTATATCCCATTTGTAGCCCACCCTTCCTCCCAGAAACGTACGCTGGGTGATATGAGAGCTTCCAGTTTTATCCTCAGAAGAACCCTGTGAAGGGAGGCAAGACTGAGAAATGGTGATGGCCCCAGAAGGCTCTGTGGCCAAGTGTGGGTCCCCTGAACCAAGTGGGTGCACAGAGCCCAAGAAAAAGGCAACCGCTTTAAGTGAAAGCTGTCCAAAAGGCGAATAGCATGTTAAAAACAATTGGGTGTGTTTCCCCAGGGACAGGCTCTCTTGACTGTCTTTCCTCTTTTCCAGGGAAGCCAAGAAGCCTTTTTTGTGGCAGATCTCGAGGATGTGGTGAAGAAACATTTGCACCTCCTCAAGGCCTTGCCCCGCATCAAGCCTTTCTATGCTCTGAAGTGCAACCGCAGCAAAGGAGTGGTTCAGATGCTGGCAGGGCTGGGAGCCGGGTTTGGCTGTGCCAGCAAGGTAGGAACGTGGTGGGAACAGGGCAACTGGGCTCCCTTGGAGAAGCAGCTGGATGCATGCATTTTTGTTTGGCGTGCATTGCAGCATATGCCTTCATTACTATTATTACTACAGTGGATGCTCGGGTTGCATACGTGCAGGAGGCATGTTCGCAACCCGCAGCATTCGCAACCCGCAGTGCTGCGTCTGCGCATGCGTGGGTTGTGATTTGGCGCTTCTGTGCATGCACAAAGAGCAATTTAGTGCTTATGCTTATACGCCGAAACCCGGAAGTAACCTGTTTCGGTACTTCCGGGTTTGGCGTGATGCGCAACCCGAAAACACGCAACCTGAAGCGTCTGTAACCCGAGGTATGACTGTACATTTATATCCCACCTTTCCTCCAAGAAGCTCAAGGTGGTGTATACATAGTTCTCCCCCCTCCAATTTATTCTCACAAGACTAGAGAATGGAGAGACTGAGGGCAGCACCAGCATCCCTCTTGAGAAAATGTTGCTCTCCTGCAAATGGCTGGGAGGAAGCCTGGCTCACAGTGCAGGTCAGCCTTCCCCAGCTTGGTGCCCTCCCAATGTGGCTGCTGGACTACAACTCCTATCAAGCTTCATTCAGCATGCTGCACTTGGCTGGGCTGATGGAAGCTGTAGTTCATAACATCTGAAGGGGCACCAAGTTGGGGGAGTCTGATGTAGGTGAAGAGCCTATTGCATCTTCTTTTTTGAATATTCTACCTTTTTCTTCACCCTTTCTGCTGCAAGAGTTGAGTCCCAGCAGCTAACTGGGCAGGATGCAGTCCGGACAGAAAGCCAGAGATAGGGATATTGTTGCTAAGGTTGCTGTGCCCAGCTGGGTGCAACAGGGCTAGACAGGCTAGAGGAATGGCTGGGAGAAGGTTGCAAAGGAAACAGCTGGCAGGCAACAGAGCCTGGATCAGAAAGATTCAAATCCTTGATTTAAAAAGCCTGCAGTTCCCTCTTTCCAACAGCCCTCCTGTTGGTGCAGGAAAGAGGGAGTCAGTATGTGTTCCTCTACAGTTCCCAGCCACTCACTGCCTACACTGCCCAGTCAGAAGAGTCCTTCCTTCCAACATCCTTTGTTTTGAACTTTCAGGCAGAAATGGCCCTGGTGAAGAGTATTGGAGTCCCGCCGGACAGAATCATCTGCACCAGCCCTTGCAAGCAGATCTCCCTGATCAGATATGCAGCTAGCCAAGGGGTGCAGCTGATGACTTTTGACAATGAAGTGGAGCTCAGCAAGGTAGCACGGAGCCACCCGTCTGCCAGGTAAGGCAGACAGCACCTGTGGGCATAAATATATATATATGCAGGAGGGAACAGTTGTAATGGGCAGAAGAGTCTAGGCTCAACAAGCAGAAGTAGTGAATCTTAAAGGCGTTGATTGCAAAGGATATGGGGCCTTTGCTGGAACCCCCAAAGGTTTCACTTTGCAGTTAGAGAAAAAGGGCCAGGTGTGTGAAGTTGCAGGTCAGACTGGAGCAAACTCCCTGTGGAGTAAGATTCAGGTTTCAACCAAATACCAGACTATGGGGTTGCCTGCAGACTGTTTTTATTTTGCGAGAGGGATTCAAGCACATCCCAGAAACTTAGGTTCACACAAAGTCGATTAATGGACTCTATCGCTCTACAGCAACAAATCCACTTAAAAAGAAAATTAAACTTTTGAGGTTAGGAAAGTGACCGGGAAATGCATTGAAAAATGTGGGATGAATAAATGAATAATAGGAAGATGTATAAACACCACACAAGCAAATCAGTTGTGGACCTTCCCCTTAGAGATGTTTCTGGCGCCTTCATTATACAGTTTTCGGTGAATGCTGAGGACAATTTTCTTTGTCCTGACTTTTGAGGTGCAGATTTTTAGGACCCACCTCATTACTCTAATTGTAAGATGTTATAAAATGTTTTTTAAAATGTGTTGTAAAGTTGAGTTTCAATGTTGTAACCTGCCCTGGGACCTGAGGGTGAAGTACAGGTAATATATATTTTTTTAATGTGGGACTGAGGATAGAAACTTGCAGTCTGAACTCAGGAGATTTGCTGTGTGACTCTGCAAGTCTTTGTCCCAAAATTCAAATACACTGAATATCTGGATTTTGAAAAAAAGCGGAGAAGAGAGAGAAACAATCAGCAAAAGAGGAGATATAAAAAAAATGGGATATTTTAAAAATAATTTGCCCTTGGTGCAGAATTGGAGGGGAGGCAGGTGCTGGGTTATCACAAGCATCTCCTGGAAAGCGACTTTGCAAAAGATGAGTCTGTACTGTGCCTGGCATGCTGTTGGCTCAGAATAAGCAATATACCACAATTGTCACAGTCGTCGTCTGAGTTTGCTCTCCCCACCTTGTTCCACAGAATGATTCTGTGCTTGGCTACCGACGACTCCAGGTCCTCCACCTGCATGAGCATGAAATACGGCGCCACACTTAAAGTCTGCCGTCACCTGCTTGAGACTGCAAAGGAGATGAATGTCGAGGTGGTTGGCATCAGGTAGGCTGCGGGTTTCCTTGTGCTCACTGAGGAGAGGAAAGAAAAGGGCACTCTGTCAAGGCTCACTCCTAGGCAGCTGGCCCCAGGCCTCTTCAGGTGGCCCCCTACCTGGACCTCTGGGTCTTGCTCTGTAGCTGCCATTGGCATCGCCCCCATCCAGAGTTTTCGGCCCATGTCAACAGCTGAGTCTTGGACACACCCTGTTTGCTTAGGACGCAGGGCAGAGAGCAAACCACTTGGGGCAGAGCCACCTGCATTGTTGGGGGCTTCCATGAGCAGCTGGGTGGGTGGGAAGAAGTAAGAACCCCCACCCACATCAGGGCAGTAGCTTGAGGTGCAGTTATAATAAATTAGTCAGTGAGAGACTTTAATCATATTTTGTGGCAATGTCCAAAAGCAAAAAAAAGAAAAAAAGAATGGTTGGGAAATGATTCATAATAAACAGCCTCTTTAGACCCTCTTTTTTATTTAAGTTATATGGACACGTAAAGAGCAAGTGGCAGGCATGATCAAGGCTGCCAGAGTTCATTATGCACATAGGAGAAAAAAGAAAAAAAAAAGTATTGGCTGGACAAATTAGAGGAATGCATGCTCTTATGGGCAAAATGAACGCATTGTTTTAGTTAATCACTTCCCTTGAGGCACCCCAAAGTGATTTGGCAAACCGTGCTCTTATCAGAACAAGAGAATAAACACTGAGATGGGAGAGGTTTAATGAAATCTGGGCTTGCTCCACTAAGTATTGCAGAAGCAAAGCACTCTATCCAAACAGGCAGCATTGTTTTTTGCATCCATCTAGATGTTGGTCTGGAAATGAAGTATGTGACCTGTGTTCTGTTACTTTTAAGTTAATTTGTTTTTTCCTGTGCACCAATTGTTTGAAAACTGTGGACTTTTTGCACACGTATCTCCAACAGATCTTGGGGGATGTGCATATCTTGACTGGATTTTGTACATGCATATAATACACATACACACACACACACACACACACACACACACACACGAAATGGTTTAACAGTTTTGAAAGCTACTCACCAGCCCACTTGCCTTCCTTTCCAGCTTCCACATTGGAAGCAGCTGTGCCGACCCCCAGCTCTTCACTCAGTCCATAGCAGACGCTCGCCTGGTCTTTGAAATGGGTGCAGAACTAGGCTACAAGATGCACCTCCTGGACATTGGAGGGGGCTTTCCTGGTGCTGAAGAGTCCAGAGGGCGCTTTGAAGAGGTACGAGTCTTGGTTCTCTCTTCAGCAGATGGCAAACAGGCCAGTTTGGGGGAGTGCTGGCTCTGGGTGCGCAAGACCTGGGTTCAAATTCCTGTTGAGCCAAGAAGCTTGTTGGGTGGCCTTGGACAAGTCACGATTGTCTCAGCCTAGACTACCTAGTGTGAGGATAAATGCAAGATGCTGAAAAAGCCAGAGGGAAGTGGCAGCGGAGGGCGGGTGTCTATGAAGGCAAGTGGGGCACTCCCCCCCATCACAGTCTGCCCCCAGCTAGCTGCCACCTAGTTGCCTTCTTAGTAGTAAGCAGTCCAGGGGGGATGGTTTTGCCTGTCATTGGCTCTGACTATGCCAGACTTTGCTCTGAGCTTCAAGACTGTGCACCTGCTGGAAGGAAATACAGTGGTGCCCCGCAAGACGAACGCCTCGCAAGACGGAAAACCCGCTAGACGAAAGGGTTTTCCGTTTTTGTTTTTTTTAAATATGGAACGCATCCTTGCGCAGGGGCCATGCTAATCTTCTCTGTATCGTTCCAATTTTAGTATATGTGCTGCCGAAGCGAGCACGAAAGGGTTTTCCGTTTTGGAGGCGCTTCGCAAAACGAATTTCCCTATGGGCTTCCTTCGCAAGACGAAAGCCCATAGGGAAATCTCCGGGACAGCGGGGAAGCGCAGCGCGTCTTCCCCACTGTCCTCGGACCTCCTCCGAAGCCTGGCGGCGGGGCGGGGACACCTCCTCCCGCCGCCCGGCTTCGGAAGGCTGCTCCGAAGCCGGGCGGCGGGGCGGGAACACCTCCTCCCGCTGCCCGGCTTTGGAAGGATGCTCCGAAGCCGGGCGGCGGGGCGGGAACACCTCCTCCCGCCGCCCGGCTTCGGAAGGATGCTCCGAAGCCGGGCGGTGGGGCGGGGACACCTCCTCCCGCCGCCCGGCTTCGGAAGGCTGCTCCGAAGCCTGGCGGGGGGGCGGAGAGACCTTCTCCCTGCACCAGCCTTCGGATGGCTGTCCTGAAGACTTGGGGTGGGAGAAGGGTTTTCCTTCCCACCACCAACATTCAGAATGCTGTTCTGAATGTTGGCGGTGGGGAGGAAAAACCCTCCTCCCACGCAAGCCCCGGGAACAGAGGAAAAGCGCTGCGCACCTTCCCCTCTGTTCCCGTACCTGTCCTGAAGGCTTGCGGTGGGGAGAAAAGCCCTTCTCCCCACCGCCAGCCTGGCAAGCGGTTTCCATAGGAACGCATTAATTGATTTTCAATGCATTCCTATGGGAAACCGTGCTTCGCAAGACGAAAAACTCACAAGAAGAAAAAACTTGCGGAACGAATTAATTTCGTCTTGCGAGGCACCACTGTATGAACATGTCTCTGCTTGGAGCGCCAAGAGGCACATTGGAGGCTCCCCTGCACCACCATTTCACCCATAATAATACGTATTTTGCTAGTGAAAGTAACAAACATCTTCTGCAGCTAAGGAGACCTAGTTTCTGAATGGACACAAGACCTTGAACACTGTCATATTTGGGTTGCCATTTGCCCCAGTGAAACACATCATTACAGACGGTGTGAACATTTAAAAAGAGGTCATGTATTTGACCAATTTTAAGGGAGGCCAAAGCAAAGTGTGTGAATGGCATCACATCTTGTTTGACACCATACACACACATACCCCATTGCATATATTCCCAGGTAGCCTGTAAAGTTCTGCCTAAGACTGATTCCTGCTCCCCCAATGCCATCAGCACTCAGAATGCATTGCAGTGATTCCTGCATTGCAGGGGGTTGGACTAGAATAGATCACCCGTGGGGTCCCTTCCAATTCTACAATTCTATGACTTGAGTCCCACATGTTTGTAACAGCTGGATGTGGACCCTTCTCTCCCCCCCCCTCCAGACAGCAGCTGTGGTCAGCTCCGCCTTGGACCTATATTTCCCAGAAGGCTGTGGGGTGGAGGTCATTGCTGAACTGGGGCGCTACTATGTGGATTCAGCCTTTACCTTAGTGGTCAACATTGTTGCCAAGAAGGAGGTTCCCCTGGACCAGCCGGGCTCTGATGGTAGGTTTGGTCAGCTTCCATCCGGATTCTGCAATAAGTGTGAGAGATTATTGCCAGACACCCTATAGGGAAAAGAAAAAGGCCTTTGCCACCACCACCCCATTACCTGAGACAGGGAATGCCAAACCCAGGGGCCAAGTGTGGCCCTCCAGACCTCTCTGTCTGGCCCTTGAGACTCTCCCTAGCACAGGCCTCCTTTCTAGGCCACACTCCTCAGTGAATGTGGGTGGTGTCTTTCAGCTGTACAGTTTTCTATATCCGAAGATCCTTGAGGAGGCCCTTCTTCCTGTCTCAGCAACGCAGGGCTGGCCTGTCCATGAGGCTCAGTGAGGCAGTCGCCTCCTGTGCTTGTTTCCCCTGCCTCCTCCTCGGCTGCTGCCATCTCCTTTACAGACTCCTTTTTTCCTCCCTGCCACATTCAGCAAGCCAGAGTTTCTCCAGGCTGCCTCCAGTTGCTTCAGGCAGTGCAGGTGGGGATTTTCTGTTTTGCCTCAAACAGCAAAATGTCCTGGACCACCCCTGCACCAACATCTGAAGCACGTCTGACAGGAACAGGGCCTTTTCAGTGGCTGCTCCCAGAGGCTCTGGGGCTTCTTGCCAAGGGAGACTCACCAGCCCATTCACTGGTTACCTTCCACCATCAGGCAAAGGCACTTCTATTTGGCTGGGCCTTTGATGCATATGCTGACATATAAAATTCGTTGCAATTAGGGTTTTTTTTAACTGGTTTTTTTTTTAATTGATTCAATGGATGTTTCACTTGCTTTGTGTTTATGTTTATTATTTTTTTACTTTGTATTTTCTTGCTATTTCATTGTATTTGTATTATTGCTGTTAGCCGCCTTGAGCACTGCTTGGTGGAAATGCGGGATAGAAATTTAACAAACAAACAAATAAGGCACCCCTGACTTGGCCTCTGCTGCATTTCCTCTGGCTGTCCCAGATGAAGACCCCGGTGGCAAGAAGAGCTTCGTCTACCATCTCAACGATGGCGTTTATGGCTCCTTCAGCTCAGTCATCTTCAACAACGTCTGCCCAATCCCCATCCTGCACAAGGTACAGAGGGTTTTGTAACTGGCTTCCTTAAGCAGACCCACAGAAGGAGAATGTGGCTCTCACCTGGCACCAAAATCCATTTGCAGGTTTGCAGCAGGGGTGGTCAAACTGGAAAGCCCAGCGAAGCAGCACCCTCGGGTGCCAGAGTCGCACAAGCCCCTCCCTCAGCAGTGCCACCATCTTGGGGCACTTCTCAATGGTTGCTGCTTTAGGGTAGGATTCAATAGTAAATAGCTGATGTTTGCGGGTGGGCAAGCTTCCCTTTGCACAGATGGGGCACAGTCTCATAAAAGTGAATTGTAACAAATTTGGGAAGCAAGCAAATGAATAGGCCTTTTTCGTGGCAGTAACTTAAGTCCAATTGGTTTCAGTGCAACTTGGTTGCAAATACCTTTTTTTGGATTGTGCCCATAAACTGCTTGTTGATTTCCAGTGATGATGTTTTTTAAACATTGTGGGAAGTGCCTGTATTAATTTCAGACTTTACTCCCTTCCTCCTGACTCAGAATTCTGGTTAGTTTTGGGGACAGAGATTCAGTAAGCTGGAGAATTTCCGCTTTCTTTTTTAAAATACATGTTTCTTGTCCTCATAGAAATTCATGCAAGGTCTGGCTAGCCAGTCATAGCTGTTTCCTCCACTTCTCTCGATGCAGAAACCCTCTCCAGATCTTCCCCTGCACAGCAGCAGTTTCTGGGGACCGACTGGGGATGGGCTGGACTGCATTGCGGATGGCATGGAGCTCCCAGAACTGCACCCCGGGGACTGGCTGATCTTTGAGAACATGGGGGCTCACACCATGCCAGCTCCCTCAGCTCTCTGTGGGGCCCAGCAAGCACAGATCTACTACACCATGTCGAGAATGGCCTGGTGAGATAATTTCCCAGAACCCCTTGCGAGGGGGAAGCAGGAGATTGTATCAAATCTAAAAGTGGAGAAAGCTGTGGCCCTCCAGATGTCGCTGGGCTGCAGCCATTGGCCCTAATGGCCAGGGCTGATGGGCAGTGGCGAAGGAACCCTCTCCGGCACCCGGGGCAGGACGCCCCACCTGGTGGCACACGCGCGGCAACCTGCCGCACATGTGCGGTCCGTACGGGATGCCGCTCACGCAGCGCCCATACTGACTGTGCGTGCCATCGGCTGCTCTACAGCTGGGGGCAGGCAGGGACCATCTTGTCACACACACACCTCCAGAGTGGCACCCGGGGCGGCTCACCCCTCCACCCCCCACTTCGTACGCCCCTGCTGATGGGTACTGTAGTCCAGTGGCAACTAGATGGCTGCTAGTTCCCCAGGATGGGGGGGCTTGGATCTGAAACACTTTTAGAATTCTTAAAATGCCACAGAAGCTCTGTTATTAAACTTTTATAAAGGCAAAGGAGTGCCATTTGCACCTGTGCTTGTGGGCAGGTGGCAAATCACACTGGATTTCTTTAAGAGCACAGGGTTGAATGAGAGCAAACTGAGAATTGTCTGCTGGCAGGAGAGGGGCACCAGTTTGGAAAACTGAGCCAAGAGAGCAACTGAGTCCTTTCTCTTTTGTCTTGGGCTTGCTGCGGCCCACAGGGAAGCCGTCCAGCTCCTTCAGGGGAAACTGCTGCACCCGGAGGAAGAGGACCGGGAGAGTACATGCACCCCCCTGTCCTGTGGCTGGGAGATCACGGACACCCTGTGCGTTGCCCCCGTCTTCACTCCAGCAAGCATCATGTAAGCCGTGCCAAACATTCACTACGGGGGCCAGACCCTCCTCCCAACAGAGTCCTGCCACACCTTCTCCCTCCTCTCTCTCTCTCTCTCTCTCTCTGGCCTGCCTGCCTCCCACATTTTCTGCCCTTGAGTAGGAGCTGTTTTTATCCCCACCCCCCAATGCTGTGTGGTTTTTAAGTATGCAACATAAATCCTGTTCCTCCTGATCTGGGCGTCTCTTGTGTTCTATGCATGAGTGTGCAGAATGATCATAGAATCATAGAGTTAGAAGGGACCCCAGGGGTCATCTAGTCCAACCCCCTGCAATGCAGGAATCTCAGCTAAAGCATCTGTGACAGATGGCCATCCAACCTCTGTTTAAAAACCTTCCAAGGAAGGAGAGTCCACCACCGGGAGTCTGTTCCACTGCTTAACAGCTCTTACTGTCAGAAAGTTTTTCCGAATGTTTAGTTGGTATCTCCTTTCTTGTAACCTGAAGCCACTGATTCGAGTCCTACCCTCCAGAGCAGGAGAAAACAACCATGCTCCATCCTTCATTTGATAGCCCTTAAGATATTTGAAGATGGCTATCATGTTGACTCATGCTTAGCTTGTGGTCCACCAAGACCCTTCGATCCTTTTCAATGTACTGCCAGTAAGCCATCCTATATTTTGTGCATCTGGTTGTTCCTGCCTAAGTGCAGAACCGTATATTTGTCCCTATTGAAATTCATTTTGTTAGCTTGTGCCATGTTCTCCAATTTTGTTAAGGTCATTTTGAATTCTGATTCTGTCTTCTGTGGCATTAGCTACCCCTCCCAGTTTGGTGTCATCTGCAAGATCTAGTTTAAAGCTCTCTTGATCAGATTCTCAAGACTCTTGGCAAGCACATTCTTGCCAACTGCTGTGAGGTGCAGCCCATCACTCGCCAGAAGTCCTACCTGAAGGAAGCGGAGACCATGATCCAAGAAGCCAAATCCTTCCTGACGACACCGCCTGCGCAGCCAGTGGTTGACCTCAAGCATTTTCCTCTCTTCTTGGGCCACGACCTTCAACAGGAAGGAGTGATGAAAAGGCTACCTGTGCCCCAAGTCTCTTCAGCTCCCTGCCCAGTGTCTCATAGTCCTTTGCTATATGTTGCAGGCTATGTGTGGCAGTATTATTTGTACCCACATGAATCAGAAAAAAGGGGTAGTGGTCAGTGGGCTTTATAAGACTTGGCAGCTTCTCCGTCACATTGTGAATTTTTGCACACAGAACACCCCCCATGACATCCTGTTTCCTCCACACATGACCATAGGCGCCGACTCCATGGGGCTTGAGGGGGCCCGAGCCCCCTCAAAAATTCGTTTGGGGGGGCTCCGCCCCCCCAATAATCTCCGGCGCCCCTCCAGCAGAGCGCCATCGCCGCCCCTCCCCCAGCCCAAAATGCACAGGGAGGGGCGGGCTGCATGCCTCCTGCCCTCCCTCCCGAGCAAAAGCTCCACCCAATTTCCTTTGGAGCTGATTAATAGGCGCAGCACGCTCTCCCCTATTCGCTCACGAGGAGGCGGCGCCACTTTATTTGCATATTCATGAGCTTATTTATTATTCATGAGCTTTCCCGGGCCCCCCCAATATTTTTTATAAGTCCGCGTCCCTGCACATGACTGTCTCTTTTCCCCTAAATAGGGAGTCACCTATCACCACCACTCGTCTCCTCCTCCTCCTTCTCTGGGGAGTAGCAGGAATCATTCTATGGGCTGTGCCTTCCAAAGGCTGCTTGGAGTGTTCTGAGGTCTGATTCTGTTGTTCTCGAGTCTTCCCCTCTTGTTTATTGGAGCTTATTTTGATATTGTTGGGATAACTTACAAAGGCCCGGAACTTATTGTTCCTACTCCTTCCTCCCAGCTTGTCAATGTAGCAAATACGTTATCAGCACACTCATCCACAGTCAGTACTTGGATCTGATGGGGTTAGATCAAGAATGGAAAAAGACTCCTCCAAATCCATCTCTTCCTGTCTTTTTCTCAGGTGGGGGGGAATAATCGTTCTGTGCTCTGCAGCTTTCACAGCCACCTTCGTGTCTTCTGAGGCTGCCCTAGCTCCTCTGGCCCAGAATCAGTGTCTAAGGTGAGAGCATGGTAGCGATTCTGCAACTCTAATGACAAAGTGTGGTTTGAGACTGCCCTATTTCTGTGCATCACATTCCTCCAGGGGTTAGACTCTTGCAATGGGCAATCTTCCTCCACCCTGGGGGCATCTATCTTGATGCTAAATCTCAGTCAACTCAGCTTTATCAAGTAATTTTGCATGTTGTCCTGTTGCTTGAGGTGTGGCTAGGTGGGTCTCAGGTGTTAGTATTTCATGCTTCCGATGCTGCAGATGAGATTGGTGCAAATCACATGCCTGTCTGGGAAGAGTGTGGGAACGGAAGACGGCCCTGTTTGCGAGCTCAGGTTGTAAGCTCCCAGGATCTGCACTGAGCTAAGTTTGACTGCTGCTGGTTGCTAAGTCCTCCCTCAGCCTGGCTTCCTCTCAGCTGTAGCTCCTCCCCCTCAGATCCTGTGTTCCCACAGAGCTCCTCCCCCTCAGATCCTGTGTTCCCACAGAGCAATCAGCCACGCACACACACACCCTCTGGCTCGCAATGAAAGAAAAGCAATCAGGAAAAGTAATCAGGCCTCTAGCAGAGCACTCAGCCACTCCCTGAGGCTTGCTATCAATCTATCAAACTTCTAAACAGCTCAGAAAAGCAAGCAAGCAGCCTTACTCCAAATGACACAAGCTCACTCTCTTCAGTCTCCTCCAGCAATCCTTGTCCCTGTTTGTGAGGTCCGGTGGCAAGCTCCCAGGACCAGTGGGTGCAGCTGGGGCATAGATTCAAAGGAGGGTTCACCTGCAGAATGGGCATTTCTCTGGTTTACAATAATAAACTCAGTGGTAGCGCTCCAAATCAGACCAACTTCCCCTGTGTGGTTCTGCCTACCCACAAAATGGATTTTTCAAGATCATTCTTAAGCTATAATAATAATAATAATTTATTATTTATACCCTGCCCACCTGGCTGGGTTTCCCCAGCCACTCTGGGCAGCTTCCAACAAAATATTAAAATACAATAGTCTATTAAACATTAAAAGCTTCCCTAAACATGACAGTGGTCCTATGCATACCTAGCTATGAGTAAGCGCCACTGAATGCAGTGCAACTTACTTCTGCTGCAAGGCAATCCTGTGCATGTTACTCGGAAGTCAAGTCCCATTGTGTTCCATGGAGCTTGCAGTTAGGCAAGTGTGCATGAGGGGGATAGATTTTCAGGAGTTTTAAAGGGGGAGGAACTGGGAGCATGACAGAGTGCCTAGCAGGGATGATATAAGCTAGTTTAAGGCCCTGATTTTTTAAAGTTCCAAAATTTTGACCCACTTACAGCAAATAACACAATTCTTACTCAGTTTATATATTTCTTATGCAATCAATTCACATGCATTAAAATACACCTGGGCTTAACAACAGGGGCATGAATCCAAAATTTGTGCCTGCTTCCTGTTAAGGCGCAAAAGTCTTAAAATCAGCCCACCCCAACCTTGTGTCCTTCACCTGTGTTGGACGACAGCTGTCATCAGCCCCAAACAATACAGCCATGATCCCATTAGCCCTGGCATCATATGGCTGTGCAGGCTGGTAGTTGTGGTCAAAAACATCTGAAAAGTACCAGTTGTGAAGGTGGGGTGCTTAAAAGCTTCCCTTAAACCTTGTGCTGTTCCGCCTCTTGCCAACAGGGCACTGAGGGGAAAGGGCATGATAAAATATGAATACAGTAAAGGAAGTAATGGTAGAGCAGAGGCAGAGGAAGGCTCTGCCAGCACCTGCTGGTGGCCTTGTGGCTGTCTTGCCATCTCTTGTCTATGATGCTGGCTGTTCTTTCCCATTAATTTGTGAAATCTCTGTTTTCTCTCTAGATATAGAAAAATTAGAGTGATACATAGGATAAATCTTTATTTGGTTTTGATTTTAAGCACTTGCTTCCTAGCAGTTAACTCAGTTGAAGACACTGGGACTTACTTCTAAGTAAACACAGACCACAAGTTTTTTTACATGCAGTTAAGCCCTGGATTTGGGCTGGGAGAGGGTGGTGCCCAGATGTCACCTTTAGAGTAGCTGCTTAGGCCTTGCCAAAATAAAGTGACCACAGAGTTGCATATATATTGCATGTATTGATTTAAAGAGAGATGCACATCTTAAAATAATTAATATTATTTAAGTAGAAATACATCTCAGCTTAGTGGGAAAGACCAGGTAGCCTGCTTTGTGCCTGCTCAGCCTGCTGTTCAGGTGTCATTGAAAGGCTCCTACTCTTCCTCCTTAGGTTTCTTTAAACTGAATTTGGACCAGGCAACCTTCAGATAATTTTTTGAAAGCATTTGTACCCTGCTCCTCAGCCAAAAAGGCTCCCAGAGTGGCTTACACACAATCAGCGAAGGCTGTGTTCAGACTCCCATTGCCTGTGGTTTATTATTGCATTTATATCCCACCTTTTCCTCAAAGGGGCATACATGATTCCCCTCCCCTGCTTCACTTAATCCCCACAACAACTCTGTGAGGTAGGTTAGGCTGAGAAGCAGTGACTGATTTGAACCCTGATCTCCCAGGTCTTAGTCCAACAATCTAACCCCTACATCACACTGGCTCACTGTCCAGTGCTGGGTTTTTAAATCCATGTTCACACGAAGGCTATCCAAAATGCGTATGTCTCCTTTACTTCACTGTAAAAGACTAGTGTTTGATGGTTATGTTTCTCAAACCTTAAGCTATAACTAATTCATCTCTAGTCAAGGTCTGAACACCTTTGCACTGGCTAAAGACATTCCTGCCCAATCAATGTGCACTGACTGGTGTGTACACAAACAGAAACAAATCTGATACGAATGGAGCCGTGCTGATGTGAACAGCAAGGAGGAAAGAGCTGCAAAACACATCAGGGCAAGGGGGACTCACTGGCCAAAGGGAAATGAGATGGGAAGGGAAATGGGGAGCATACTTTGGGTACCAATTCTTACAAAGTTATTTGGTAGCTGAAATGGAAACACTCCAGAGCTAGGAAGAATCTGGTGCATAGCTGTCAACTTTTCCCTTTTCTTGCAAGGAATCCTATTCAGAATAAGGGAATTTCTGTTAAAAAAAGGGAAACGTTGACAGCTATGATCTGGTGGAGCTGGTCTTATAACAGAGCTGTGGCAATGTGAGAGCGGAGGTCTGTCCTCTGAGAAGTAGGGCATCTGCCTACCTCAATTACAACCCGAGGGATCCTCCTCTTTTCCTCTTCTGGCATAAGGATTGGGCTGGCTGGATATCCAAACTGGCCTCAGCCCCACCTTTAACCTGCAGGGTTAACATCGGAGTACAATGCAGATTACGTTGTCTTCTGCCACACCTGCCCACCCTCATAGATCACAGTTGCAACTGGGTGCGAGTTGGCAGGACTAGTGTTTAAATTCTTTAAAAACCAACTTACTGAACAAAATTAAACTAGAAACCTGAATAATAATAATTCATTACGTTTATATCCCACCTATTTTCCTTTCTAATGAGATTCCCTTCCTCATTTAATCCGTACAACGACCCTGCGAGGTAGGTTAGGCAGGGGAGCTGTATGGGGATTTGAACCCTGGTCACCCAGGGTGAAACGCTCACCACTACACCTTACCGTCCAACACGCCTGCTGCCCGTTCACGTTCTGGCTTTCTCAGCCCGTCCCTGGAGGCCGCTCTCACTTCCCTCCCACCGGCAGAGGGCGAGGAGATTCGTTCTTTAAAAATGGTTTATCCAATGTAAGCCCGGAAGTTAACTCCCGAGACGGCGAGTCACTCTTCATTTTTCTGTTCTCTGTGTCTCACGTACACGTAATCTGAGCGGAATCCTCCGCGAGCTCCGGAGGGAGCTGTGGCTGCTTTACGTCCAGCCGCGACTGTCGTGAAAGCGAGGGGCACGCCTGACGGCAGCACTGTCGCGAACGCTCGCAAGGACAGGTAGGCAAGGAAGGCCGGGGGGGGTTGTTACTCAGGTGTAAGGGGCAGGTGGGAGGGGTTGTGTGGGAAGGGTATCCATTTCGCTCCCCCACCCCGTCTGCCTGCGGCGGGGAGGGACAAGCTGTGTAGCAAAGTTCCCTGCAAGATAAAAATTCAGAGCCATTACTTGAAGCAGGTTCTGGGGTCTGTTACCTATGCCTTTGGCGGAAGGGTGGGCGGTAGTCTGAGGGAGGGTCGCCCCCAGAAGAGTTTGCTGCTCCTTGAAGCTCCCTTCAGTCCCTGGTGCATGATAGCGCCCAGGCTGGTCGAGGTAGCTTAGAAAGCCCCTTCCTCTCTCCGTCCTCCTGGCAACAAAAATGCCATATGAATAGTTTAGAGCAGTGGTTCCCAAATCTTTTTTGGGATCGTTCCCTCACCATACCCCATAAAAAGCATTATTCAGAACAGCGGTTTGTACGGCCCACTAAGGAAGATAGCGCAATAAAATTCAAAACAGTAACAATTAATTGCATACTTATTCAAAATTCAATTAAAGATATTTAGTTTAATTCATTCGACAAAAGTGATGAACTTGATTCAGTGAAACCAACTTTTCAAAGTCAGATAGTAATTTACACCTCCAGCACCCCTTTCTGCCCACTTTCCTCCTCTCCCTAGGTAACCCACCTTGGTAACCACTGGGTTGGTTAGATGCACTAACCATGTGCTGCCTGTTTCAACAGAGGCTAAACCATCTCCTTTGAGTTTGCCCAATGGTAGGGCTGTCCCTGCTCCCAGATTTGCTAAACTTCTGGAAACTTTGAAGCTGGGTGTGCGGATGTGAAGCGGGATGTAGTCTGGGAATATTTTGAAGTCTGGGGGGGGATTTTGGAGGGAAATGAATTGTTTTGAAACATCTTCTCATTGGATTTAAGCTTGCTTTAAATATGTAAATGTTTCAGGTGTATTTGGCAAGCTCACAGATTTTACAGTTATAACGGTTTAAGACTCATTTACTTAAGGGATCATCTTACCTACGTGCAAATTTGATCTGCAAAACTTTAACTTCTACAAATGTCACACAGTGTTGGATCCAAGTTTCTGAGTACAGTGGTACCTTGGGTTATATACGCTTCAGGTTATATACGCTTCAGGTTATATATGCTTCAGGTTACAGACTCCGCTTACCCAGAAATAGTACCTCGGGTTAAGAACTTTGCTTCAGGATGAGAACAGAAATCTTGTGGCGGTGGTGCAGCAGAGGGAGGCCCCATTAGCTAAAGTGGTTCTTCAGGTTAAGAACAGTTTCAGGTTAAGAATAGACCTCCAGAACGAATTAAGTTCATAACCAGAGGTACCACTGTAGTTCCTTAGAATGGCAACACTCTACCTTTAGCTGTGGAACTCCCCTCCTATTGACATGAGGCAGCAACATTCACTATATTGTTTTAGGTGCACCCTGAAAACTTTATGCTTCAGTGGGCCCATTCAGGCACATGACTTGGAAACATGTGTTTTAAAATTTGAATATGTTTTCATTTTATTTTTAATCATATTTCCTAGTGTTTGTCATATTGGGCTCCTTTGAGAAGAGTGTGGGAAATAAATGAAATAGTGTATCAGTTTACAGGGAGTTTAGAAATATGATTGCATTGATTTTATCCAGATGGTAATTGCAGCTTATTCAGCATTAGAGAGGGAGCAGTACGGTGCTATAACCATTAAGTCCTTAAACATTTCTTGGATTTCTATCAGTTATGGAATTATTATTTTGAAACCATCACTATTATGGGGGGCAGGGCGGGGGGAGAATTATCTAGACTTGGAAACCTCTCCTTATTGTCAGCATTAACCAGACATAAAAAACGTACAATGAATGTTCACATCACAAGCAATTTTTCTTCTTCAAACTGTTTCCAAATCTCTGAGAAATAAAAAAAAATGCACACACATGTATGTTTGTGGGGCACACTTTTGCCCATTCCTAGCTGTGTTAAAATCTTTGATTTCTCCATTGATTTCTATGGTCAGCTCTCGCTTCTGTCCCTAGGGACATTTAAAAATAGTTTCTCAATGTGAACTTGGGGAATGACCTAATCAAACAGTGGAGTAGTTCTGTCTATGTGTCTCTTCCTTTGTACTTCTTCTCTAGCCACTCAGTTCCATTCCCAGCCACCCAGTTTTCATTTCTCCAGCCTCTTATTCAGTGTTCCTTGCCATTGAGTAACCTAGGGACTGTGAAGGTTTTTCCCCATTAAAGGTTGATTGTATCATTGCAAATCTCGTAATTACCCTGAGTCTGCTGGTGTCACCCCTGTTTTGGTTCGAGTGGGGGGGGGCTGTAGTGCAGAGCTAGCACACAGCCCTGGGTGGGCTTTCACCCCCAGAAAGGTGTGGGCAGGTACTGTGGCTGTAGCCCTACTTTCTGCTCCTCATTACTTGGTGCAGTGGTACAGTAAGTGATGCTAGCTGACCTCACCTCTGGTAGCTCCTAGACGTTGCCAAGTGTGTTATCCATATCCCCCACTTGAAGGTGTGTTAGGCGGTGTTTTTTAAAAAAGGAGAAAAGAGAGCATATTAAACTGGAATATTTTATTTATCCACCACTGCCACTTCAAAGATGAAAGCAGTCAATCATCAGATTAATTTGTTCCTGCTTGAACATGCTCACCTTACAGCCTTTCTTCCCAGAACTTCCTGCTTCTCTCTCCCCTGGTCTAATGTTCCCCCTAAGGAGGATTTCTTCCTGAGTCACCTGGCTACTCTTCAGCTACACACCTAGCTATGCACATTTAGGATCATTTCTTTATTGGTGTTTTTTCTCCCCCTCTCAGCCATGCCACTTCTCGATCTCCAGAACCAGCTGGGCATTGATGTTGACAGGTGGTTGCTCGTCGGGAGTTCCAAGCAGCCCCACAAGCAGGCCACTTTGTGCTTTGCCTTTCAGAAGGAGTGGCTGGAGTGTTCTGATGGCATTGGATCTGTAAGGGCAAAGAAGGAGTGCCAGCAGGAGATGGAGGATCTTGCTGAATGTCTAAGCAAGAAAAAAATGGTGAGTGGGAGACCTGAAGCAGGGACTCAGGGCCAGCAAGTGTGCATCTGTGTGCAAGGAAGTATTTGTCTGTTTGCTTTTCTTATTGCTGGAGTATCTGCAGAAGTTGACTGCCTCTTCCCATGTGCTGCTTGAAAGAGATGGTATGGACAGTTTTGGGGAGAATAGAAATGTAGTAAGTTTGCTTTCCCTGGGCAGAAGTTATTAGTAGGCAGCTCATTTCAAAGGCAGAATTCTCTTGTATTCCCATCCATCCTTGATGCCATGCAGAGCTACCATTTGTCTTCCCAACATGAGGGGCAAAGGAAAGAGAAGCAGCTGTGCTTCCTTCTCACTGCAGTGAGAACATTAGAAAGGTAGAGTAATTCACAACTGTAGTTAGTGTGGGTATAATAAACTGATTTGTAATTGAGGTCCAAAGCAAGTGGTTGACTTGGGGTAAGGGAATAGCTCTTACTCTATACACTGCTAACTGCAAGCAGGCTCTGCGTTTTGTGCGCTAGTGTCGGGGATCCATTGGTTGACCCCCCCAAGGGCAGGGCTGATGTGTGATGCTGCCTTGCAGTGTAGTCAGACCAAATGGCCTGGTAAATTCTGACTCATGAATTTTGCCAGTATATGGGACACCTTTGAGATGCTATCAGGGTGGGGGAAGCAGGTGGCATTCCAAAGTGTAAACTCCTGTTGGGTTTGTGGATGTAATGTAAGCTGGGAGAAAAGTTAAAATATTTTCCAAGCCGTAGCTTCTTGCCATCTTTCAATGTAACTGGCCCACCCCTTTGAATGTTTTCATAATGCAACGGGAGCAAGGTATTGTTGCTTCATAGCCTCTCTCCTCTCCTCACCTCCCCCAGCCCCATCTGTTGTTAACAAAATTGCCCATCCCTAACTGGGCTTCCCACATCTCCATAGCTGAGAGTGCAGCGTGAACATCTTGGTCAGCTGTGCAGGCACCTCAGGAGTCTGGCAGACCAAGATCATTTTGTGGCAAGTAGAGAATAGCAGGCCATCTGGAGGGCAGCCATGTGTGGGAGCCCATCAAAGCCTTTTCCTAGTAAGGTACCTCCTGGCTCTCACTCTGCGCCTTGATGCTGAAAGATTCTGAGACTTTGATCTAAAGAGCAGAACTGCAAGACTGAAAGTAGCAGAGTTGTCAGTCTATTTGAACTCAAGATCGGCTTATAACCCACTCTAAAAAAAATCTTGTGTATGTCCGTTTCCCCCCTTCTCTCCCCACCCTGATCTGAGTTGAGCAGGTGCAACTTCTCACAAAGGAGTGGCAAAGCAGTCTCCTCTTTTGCACAATTTTTAAAGGGAAAGGGGTTCCACGTTTTCCCTTGCATCTGGTCACCCTCCAGTGAGTTAGAGCACATTAAAGGGAGTGCTAAATCTGAGACCTTCAGCAATGGGAACATGCTCCTTTACAAATCCCTACGTGCTCTGACCTGCTGGAGAGGGCAAGATTTAACTCAGAAGGTGACATCCCAACTCTCTCTTCTGTTCCTTTGGCAGGTGAAGCGAATGATGGCGATTCAAGCACAGAGGGAGAAGCTGATAAAGGAGGGAAAATACACCCCTCCTGACAACCATTCTGGCAAATTTGACCCCACACCTTGAACTTTTGCTGCTTACCCTGGAGGAAGCAGAGCAGGAGTCACTTCCCAGTCTCTCTCTCTTCCTTTTTTTTTTTTTAAGAGTTCTATCACTAATGTATCAACAACTTCTGGTTAGCATGGAGACAATTGACTTTAGTCATTTTCCTTTAGCTGCCAACCGCTCCTCTGTGTCTAGTGAAGTGGCAGACTGTTCCTGGCTTGAATAAAACTGCCTCTTTGGGTCTTGAACATTAAGCTTGAGGTCGTTTTCTTTCCCCCATCTTTGTTATTACAGAGCTGCAAGTGGCCATTTGCTTGGAATCTGTGAAAGTGTGGAATGCACAACATGGAAGGCAACCACCTCAGTCAGAGAACATGGCTGGGGAATCTGTCATTCCTGATGTTGCTGGGATCCCAACTCTCAGCAGCCCACACAGCCTAGTGGTCAGGGTTGATGGGAGTTGTAGTCTAGCACCACCAAGAGAGAGGTTCTGCATCCCGATCTAGGTGCTGAAAATTTTAGCTTCCTTCCACCACTTGTTCCTGCTGTCTCAGACAAGCCTGTCTGTTACTACATTTACATCTACCTGTCTTCTCTCAAGCAGCTTAAGGTACACAGTGCCCTCCCCTTTCTATCTTCAGAAAAAATGTGTGGAAGAGGTTAGGTTGAGAGAGGGGTGACTGACCCCAAAAGTCACATAATAAGCTTCATGGCTGAGTGAGGTTTTTAACCTTGCCCAGTTCTAGTTTGGTGCTGTGGTTCTGTCAGATCCTTTGCTTCCCACCCATGCACCCCCATCTCTATGTTTTCTGCTACTTCTTGGGTCTAGAGCAGTCTTCCCATCTCTGTGCATCAACCCAGCTCCCCCATGTTCCTCTTGGTTAAGTTTGCCATGAAGAAGACATATTTTGGGGTGCCAATAATGAGTGCAGTATAAGAAAACAAATAGAACTTGACTGATGATCAGTGGGCTTCTACAGTCTGTTGGGCAGTCCTCTTGCACCATGGGTGGGAGTTGTGGTCCATGTCAAGTTAACAGGTGTGTGAGTCATTTGGACTCTTCCTCTTTGAGTAGCCCTGTGTTAACCTCTCCTTTCGGCTTGTTCACTTCCATCTGTTCAGACTCTTCCTTGATCCTTCCTCTTTTGCATTACAAATTCACATCTTTTCTAGCAGAGGGCCATTGGACAGAGGGTGTTGCCCCCACAGCCTCTACGGTGCCTAGCACATGCTCATGGCCCTGCATAAATAAATAGCAATCATTTTCCTTCTTACAGACCTCTTTAAGTGGGGATCCTCTGCTGAGTAATTGAATTATCAGAGAGTGATGTCCCACTCTCTAACATAGAGAGATGTCCCACTCTCTAACATAGAGATTGTGCAATAGTTATTTGTGGCAAAAAGGCTACCAAATTGCCCAGAGTTTCTTGTTTTGTTGCCAGTCAGTAACTTGGGAAGTTTTGTTACTGGAGGAGGTCAAAGGCTTCGGGGATTTCATTCAGGGAAAGAGGAGGCCTCTGTGCATTTGGGTCCCTACCAATTTTCTGCTTTCATGCCTGGTAGAATTCTCAGAAACCTCTTTTCTCTCCCCCAAATCCCTTGTCTCAGTCACTAGCCAGCCAGCTATATCATTTTAGGAGCTGTCATGTAGTTCTGCAAGTCTGAGGTATGCAGGGACCAGCTGTTTGGTTGCCTGATCTTCTGCAATACCTGTATTGAGATTTGCAGGTTACTGCAAAGGATTTGGGCCAGTTTTAGCTGGATCAACTCATGTTTATTTACAGGTAGAGAGCTCCAGGCTGGGATTCTATTCCCTTCTGCCATACCTACCAGCCTAGAACTGTCATCTGTCATTTGCTGGGAAGCAAGGAAATGCTGCTTTTAAACCTTACCTGCCACTTCAATAAAGTCACACAGTTCCCTGGTTGCTCCATGTTTACCTTTCTGACAGGCGCTCTCCCCCCCCCCGCCCCAGCCTGCCTGCCTGTCTCTGTAGATACATAAAGATTAATAATAGGGGCTGTGTCCCTGCTCACACTGCTACCCAACCCCCTGCCATTCCCCCCTCATATTTGCCCATAGAGCAGGCACCCCCAAACGTGGCCCTCCAACTGTTTTGGGACTACAGTTCCCATCATCCCTGACCACTGGTCCTGTTAGCTAGGGATGATGGGAGTTGCAGTCCCAAAACAGCTGGAGGATCGAGTTTTGGGGTGGCTGCCATAGAGCTTCCCCTTCTCACCCCATGCAGTTTCTAAGCTTGCTTTTCACTTTCCCCAACTCCGTTTCTGAAACTACTTCTCTCATATTCTGCAGCCCCACTTCGCATCCATTTTCAGCTTCACCCCCAAGTCCATGCCACCTCATTTTCTGCCCCATTTTTCCCCTTTACCCTACTCACTTTTCTCAACTCTCCCTTGCACACAGATCCCCCCCCCAAAAAAATCCATGCATTCCTCCTCTACCATGCAGGCCCTTTGCAGACACCCTCTGTAACCTTAAGATGAATAGAACCTTAAAAGCAAGCCTGTCAGTTACCTTGTTCAGTTTAAAAGGGTAAGTTCAGCTGATAGAGGTTGCACATATATGGATGTTTGCTTGTTCACAAAATACCTTTTCTAATTTACTATATTTAATATAGAACTTCATGTTGAAGACAATACATGGTATCAGGAGTGCAATACATGATTGTGGGAAGGTAATTACCAGCTGGTGAGCTTGATGTCGATACCAGCGAAGATCCTCGAACAGATAATTAAACAGTCAGCCTGTGATCACCTCGAAAAGGATGCTGTGATTACTAAGACTCAGCATGGGTGTCTCAAAAACAAGTCACGCCAGGCAAATCTCATTTCTTTTTTTGATAGAGTTACAAGCTTGGTGGATCATGAGAATGCAGTAGACAAAATGTTATCTTGATTTCAGTAAGGCTTTTGATGAAGTTACGGTTAGGTGGATTTGTAGCTCGTTGACTGACCGTACCCAAAGAATGCCACAGAAGACAGAACCAGGATTAAAGATTGACTTAACAGATTGGAGAACTAGGCCAAAACTAACAAAATGAATTTCAGTAGGAACAAAATGTCAGATTCTACACTTAGGCAGGAAGAACCAGCTACACAAATATAAGATGAGGGACATCTGACTTGCAAGTAGTATATGTGAAAAGGATCTAGCTACGAGCTTAACATGAGTCAACAGTGATGCAACAGCAAAAAAAGCTAATGCTATTTTAGGCTGCCTCAAAAGTAGTCTAGTGTAAGGATCAAGGGAAGTAATAGTACTGAAGGCAGCCCTGTATCGGGAAGTTTTTAATACCTGATATTTTACAATGTTTTTATATATGCTGTAAGCCACCCAGAGTTGCTGGGGGAAACCAGCCAGATGGGCAGGGTATCAATAATAATAATATTACCACTCTATTCTGCCTTGATCAGACCACACCTGGAGTACTGTGTCCAGTTCTGGGAATCACAATTTAAGGATGTTGACAAGCTGAAACATGTGCTGAAGAGGGAGACCAATATGATCAGGGGTCTGGAAACCAAGCCTTATGAGAAATGGTTGAAGGAGCTGGGTATGTTTAGCCTGGAAAAGAGGAGAGCCTGGGAGGAGATACGATAGCCATCTTCAAATATCTGAAGGGCTACCACATGGAAGATGGAGCAAGCTTGTTTTCTCCTGCTCTGGAGGGTAGAACTTGAACCAATTGCTTCAAGTTACAAGAAAGTAGATTCCAGCTAAATATCAGAAAGAACTTTCTGACAGTAAGAGCTGTCTGACAGTGGAATGGACTCCTTCAGAAGGTGGTGGACTCTCCTTCATTGGAGCTTGTTAAGCAGATGGTCGTCTGTCATGGATGCCTTAACTAAAATTCCTGCATTGGAGGGAGTTGGGCTAGAAGATCCTTGTGGTCCTTTTCAACTCTACAATTTTATGATTTGAAACTAACACAACAATGCCTTTCCCAGCTCCATTCTCATGGCACTCAAACCTTGTTTTAAACTGTCACTCTTTCCCTCAGTGTTACCCCATCATCATTTACTCTGCAATTTTTAAAAAATCACTTTTTCTGTTTCCTTTACTCAACTCTCTGCTGTTATTTAAAACCATCATTTTAAAACTTTCCTTCTCTTGACCATGCAAATCCAAGACTGATGCAGTACTGCAAATCCTCCAAGTGTGTGTGTTACCTCCCACATTACAACTGCCATATACTAATATTCAAGCGATATTCAAGGGAGCAGGTGGTGTTGTGGTCTAAACCACTGAGCCTCTTGGGCTTGCTGATGGGAAGGTCAGCGGTTCAAATCCACACGATGGGGTGAGCTCCTGTTGCTCTGTCCCAACTTCTGCCAACCTAGCAGTTCGAAAGCACACCAGTACCACTGTGGCGGGAAGGTAAGTGACATTTCTGTATACTCTGGCTTCCATCACAGTGTTCTGTTGTGCCTGAAGTGGTTTAGTCCTGCTGGCCACATGACCGGAAAGCTGTTTGTGGTCAAACACCAGCTCCCTCGGCCTGAAAGCGAGATGAGCACCATACCCCATAGTCGCCTTGACTGGACTTAACCATCCAGGGGTCCTTTACTAATATCCAACCAGTGGACCCAAATATGGACCCTTATCTAGCCAAAATGGCCCCCATTCTCTCTCAAGAAGGAAGTCTCAGCATGTTTGGGGGAAATCCAAAGATTGCAGCAATAGAATACAGTAAATGTTTAGGGAAGAAAGCCAATGAGGACTGAACATGCTCAGTGTGTGCACAATGCTGGCTAGCAGGGGTGGTGGAAATACTAAAGCATGCTGGCTGGGGCTGATTGGAGTTGTAGTCCACCAACAACTGGAGGGCGCCAGGTTGGTAGAGGCTGAAATAAGTATACTAGAAGAGGGCATGTTCGGCTAGGACCATGAACAGACTCACTCTTCCCTGCAACATTTTATTACAGCTTCCACTGGGTCAGGATTAATTTTGCATTCAAAGTGCCCTGTAGCACAGAGTCCCTCCAGCAAAACTGGGCTCCCTGTGATGATATATTATCACTACTGTAATGTGGAAAGTTCCCAAAACAAATTGGGAGTACAAATCATTCAGCCTTTGAAATGCCCCCGTCTGCCACCCCCAGCTCCAGAGAGGATGGGAAAATGGATAAGGCAGAGGCCAAGCAGGACCTTGTGCGTTTGATCTTTTTTAATTGCTAAATCTTCACCTTTCTGTGACTTTTTCATTCATTAAGAATGAATTTCACAGGGT